TTCAGGAAATATTTACAATTTTGTGAAAATTCGAAAAAACGGGGTATAAACTTTCAATCGCAATTACAACTAAACCATTATTTTTAGGGCTGACATTTTTTTTCAGATAAGCTAAATGATTATGTCACTTTTTAACAAAGCTAATTAGAGATCAATGCAAAAAATATCTTCTATCCCTCAACTTTGGAGGACGGTAAAAAAATTGAGGTTGTAATTGATTATTCATTTTATTGTAAAAACTATTTCAATCCATGTAGAATAAACCCTGAAAATATCAGCTTGCTACGATCAATGCCTCACCTTAAAAAATCTGTATGTTTGAAAGACTTGACGGATTTTGACGTATGAAGTACTGTTAGATTCGCCCTAGCAGTGCTAATTATACTTATACTTGTATTAAAATTTTGTAAAATGGCCGATTTCCTACGCAAATAGCCAAATCAGCTTAATCAGCTTGGACATTCAACTCGGCATTCCAGGTGCGGGAGCGTTAAATGTTCGGTCCGACCGAAATTACTAAGTCAGACAATAGTCCAACGCGGAATTTGTATCTAACGTTTCTCATCTGAGTGGCATCATGTCATATTCTTCGCGAGATTATGCAGAAATGCATTACTATTATGGTTCTGTCCTAGGAAAAGCTCGAGCAGCTGCTCGCATGTATCGGGAGTATGTGGTTAGAAGAGGTGGACCACAACTGGCGGTATATCCCAACTACCGCGTTTTTCTACTCGTCCACAATGCGTACATGGAGGACCGCATACTAGGCACTCATCGTCAGCTAGGAGCGCCGATGATACGCCCAGAAGAAATAGAAGATATAATAGAAGCAGCCATTGCCCGAAGCAGAAACATATCCCATACTACTCTCGAAGAACAGACCCTGTATAAAAAGTACAAGAATTGCTTCCAAGCGACTATGCACAACGGGTTGAATTTTGTGAGAATATGTTGAAAAGGTGCGAAGAGGATGAAACTTTTTTGACAGCATCTTATGGACAGATAAATCCAGCTTTAAACGAAATGGAATATTCAACATGCACAATTTTCATTCATGGAGCGTGGAAAATTCACGCGCTATTCGCCGACACAGCTTTCAACGTCAGTTCGGCGTTAATTTATGTGCTGGAGTACCTACTCAACAAAAAATTAATTCGACCATATGAATTGGTCAGTCATATCTTGCTTTTCTACAAACCAGTTTGCATGAGCTGCTAGAAGATGTATCTTTCGACGTTCGAAGCCGCATGTATTTGCAATGCGATGGTGCCCCATGCCACTTTGCACGGGATGTAGGGCATTACTTAGACACTTAGACAGTGCCTTTCCTGGGCGTTGGATAGGTAGAGGTGGACACCATACGATGGCCTCCAAAGTCACCCGATTTAAATCCTCTATATTTTTTATATGGGGATAATATATACATCTGAATATACAAATGTCAACCAACTGCGCCAGAAAATTGATGAGGCAAAAATAAAAATTATGTCGCTTGTGTATGAAGGTCATTTCGAACATGTTCTTCAAGAGTTAGTTAAATTAAATTATCTTCTTCATTTGTCGGTAAATCGCCATAAAGAGCGACACAATAGGGTCTGTACATGTAGGTCGTAAGGATTCTATTTCGTTTCTAACGTTTATCGCATGACATTTTTAGGGTTTATTCTACCTGGATTGAAATAGTTTTTACAATAAAATGAATAATGAAATACAACCTCAATTTTTTTACCGCCCTCCAAAGGTTTAAGATTTTTTACGTTGATCTAATTAGCTGTGTTAAAAAGTGACATAATCATTGCTAAAATGAAACATTTAGCTCATCTAAAAAAAATTACAGCCCTAAACCTAATGGTTTAGTTGTAATTGCGATTGAAAGTTCATTATCCCGTTTTTTCGAAATTTCACAAAATTGCAAATATTTTCTGAACTACAAAATGTCGGACCACATATATAGGGGTTCATTCGATAGGTTTTGAGGCCCTCTATCACCTGACTTCCGTTGATTCACTACTAACTTTACACCCTGTAAATGTAAATAAACTAAAATAATCCCATAGAAGCATATAATTCTAGTGCGTGGAAAAAAAGGCCACCGCAATTTTCGCTTTAAACATAGCTAAATATAGATAATACATAAATTCAAGCACACAATATAAGTGTAATAACGATATATTCAAAACTACTTAACTTGCATTTGAGTTCACTTTGCTATTTCATCTCGATTTTTAGGTAACAAGAATGTCGGTATTTCAATTTTGGATCCTTTCTTAATTTGAAATGTACTTTATATGGCTTGGTAAAAAGTTATAAATTCTAGTGAAGAGGTAGTTGGGACATATTCGACCTACATTTTTTTACTATAAATGGTGTTCTTTTAATCAGCTCGACTTTACTACTACTTGTGGTCCAATTAAATAGGGTTGTTGTTTTATTTTTGAATAGATTTATTACAACATCGTAAAGTTAAGTAAAGTAAGTAAGATCGAGTATTTTTGCTTCGGAATATAACACATCAGATGGCTATAGAATTGGCCGTTTAAAAATAGTTTTCAAAAATTGCTTTTGGATTATTTCTAGCTTCTTAATTTGGTTGGTAAGCGCACCACCCCAAGCTCGTATCGCATAATTGAGGCAACATTCAATTAGTGCATGATATAACACCTTCAAATTTGTTATTATATGGTCAACATGGAAATTCCACTTTATATGAGGATATAAATGAACACCTAAGCATTTTGTTTTATCAGCTGAATGTATGAGAGTATTTATGTTGTCACATTTAATTTGTAAAGAGGTGAATGATGGTAATTTATTTTTAAGGTTTGTGAAACGGACTTACATACATGGTTTTCTGAAAATTGATTGTTAAATATTTGTGTCTAAATCAATCGGAAATTAAAATACCATTTTCAACAGTATCTTTAAGGAATTGTTACCAGAATAAAGTATCACTGTATGATCTGCAAATCATATTATTGTGCTGTGCGACTTCAGTCTAAATAGGCTATTGACGTACACAGTAAAAAATAACAGGTCTAAAACTGTCCCTTGTGGTACAACATAAGTCACAGTGATTCATATTGTTGTGAATACGACTTTAAGATAAGTACAGAATACAGAACTACCATTTTTTCCAAATATGATTAGTTTTTATTTACCACAGATTATGTACCTATCCTTGTTCCACTTGCCATTTGAAAGAGATAATTCTCTGACATTATAAATAATTGCAAAACTCACTTGTCACCCTTCAAGTGCCGTCCACGTTACGAAATTCGGCTATCATCAAGATTATTCTCATCGTCAAAACCGCTGCTTTAGAAATATTCTTGTTATTGTAGCTGTACGAATTACGTAATTTTTCCTGCAACGAATTTTCTATCCTTTTTATTGCATAATTTCCAACTATTTCCTCCAGTATTAGGTATGTTCTGGGGCCTAATTCTAACTAAATTTCGACAATTTAAATTATTCTTAATGTCGCAAAAATCGGAATTAATTTGGGCGCTGGTATCTATTCTCTCATTATACGAGGGATGTCTTTTAAGTTTTGCATACAGAAACATAGTAGGCCGCGCGGATCGAACGTCAGTACTGAATCTTAACCTCACTCTTCAGTAAACTTAAATTCAAAGTTTCACAACAATACGTGCAGTGTTCTCACTACAGTGAATTTTTAAGTGTCACCAAGTCATTAGAAAAATGGAACTCAACCAAGAACATTTTCGCGCCATTATTTATTATAACTTTCAGAGACAATTATCGCAACAAGAATGCCTTGCTGAGTTACTGTCTGTTTTCGGCAACGAAGCGCCACATCAGTCGACAATTTCCCGTTGGTATGGAGAATTCAAACGTGGACGGGTGAGTCTTAGCGACGATCCCAGGTGGGTGCACCAAAAACGGCAGTCACCCAGGAAAACGTCGATGCTGTGCGCAAACTCATCATTGAAGATAGACATGTGACCTATCGCGAGATTGAGGCGCCCTTGAAGATCTCAAAGACCTCAATTCAAAAAATTTTACATGAAGAATTAGGAGTAAGAAAATTAGTTTCTCGTTGGATACCCTACCTGTTGACTGAAGAGCAGAAAGCAGCCAGGGTTAATTGGTGTCAAAAAACGCTTGACCGTTTCAATTCCGGAAACTCAAAAAATGTGTACAGCATTGTTAGTGGTGATGAATCGTGGATTTACTGTTGTGAACCAGGAAATAAACGACAGTCGGCTGTTTGGGTGTTCCAAGTAGGTGAAGAAAAGCCAACTACAGTCATCCGATCTCGGAGTGTTTCGAAAAAGATGGTCACGACATTTGTGTCAAAAGCGGGTCATATTGCAACAATTCTTCTTAATGAGCAAAGAACTGTTACTGCGGATTGGTATACCACCATTTGTTTGCCAAAAGTCATCACCGAGCTTCGAAAAATCAACCCCGAAAGAAGAATCATCCTCCACCAAGACAATGCAAGCTCGCACACAGCCCAAAAAACAAGGCAGTATTTAACGGAAGAAAACGTGGAATTATTGGACCATCCTCCATATAGTCCCGATCTAAGTCCTAACGATTTCTTTACTTTCCCGAAAATTAAAAACAGACTGCGTGCTCAAAGGTTTCAGTCACCAGAAGAAGCAGTTGAAGCATTCAAAAATACCGTTTTGGATCTGCCAACAAACGAGTGGAATAAGTGCTTCGAAAATTGGTTTGAGCACATGCGGACGTGTATTAATCTTCGTTGGGAATACTTCGAAAAACAATAAAGTCATTTAAAACTACCTACCGTGTTGTTTTATTTCCATATATCCATATGCAAAACTTAAAAGACATCCCTCGTACATTATACGGCTGAAATATAATAATTTCCGCTCTTTAATCTTAAGAAATACGTGTTTTCTCATTCATCTCAACACTTCTTTGTTCGTCAACTTTTCCATCCGATATATTTTCAATATGTTGCATTCCAAAACCACCTGTTTAATTACCAGCGGTATTTCTTTTGTTTCAGCGCCACCTACTCATGCCATGCATTCTAACATCTGCGATGGGCCAACGGCCTTCCAGCACCGTCACTCTACCATCTTCACCGCCCACCGCCACCCCCGACCACAAACACTTATTCCCCCTCCACCATTTTTTGACGTTCGGTGGGCGTGGTACTCGCTTGCCACGCCCACAACAGCCCATCCGTTTCCAGTACCGCAAGACGAAGAGGCGGGGCCTGTTGCCACAGCAACCGAACAAAAATGTGGAGGGGCGGGGCGTGTCGTCCCAGCAACAGAATAACAATCTGGAGGGGCGGTGCAGTAATCAGAAGGTAGGGGAATGTGGTGGAGAGAATAGGCAGGGATGTGGGCTGACGACCGGTGGGATTATTGGAAATGTGCAGGTGAGTTAGCAAATTTTGCGAGTTGTATTTTATACAGGAACAGGACAACTGAACGACATATTCAGCACGTGAAAGTACGAAAAAATGGCGTCAAGTGGGTCGCTTCTGCACCTTCCACGCAACGCCGTCATCAGTTCATGTTCAGCACAAGTCAGACCTTGTGAAAAAAAGTTAGTTACCAACATGTATGACAGAGAAATTGAACAGGCCCTTACAATTAGTGCATATACATTCGTTCCATGCCCTAAATTTATAGTCCATCTGACAAAGTCGCCTCTCCCTGCCACCTAACCACACAACATGCCAGGCTCGGTAGTAATGCCAGAACACTTACCAGGATCTGCATGCTCGCCGGTGATCCCAGACAGCAGAAGCATGAATACGTATAGAAATCATTTCTCTATAAATCCAAGTTTTAGGGCCGTATCGTCAGTCGTTCCTACAATTGCATGGCCTCCTTGATTTTCATTGTTTTCTACTTGTGTCTATCGTGTCAGCGCTCTGTTTTGAGGTTATGTTACAAATATCCATTTGCATCAAATTGATCATGCTTTTGAATAGATCATCTGTTATATAGCCTGAAATTTCCTACAATTCAAGAAGAAATCATATCCTGATAATAAGAGAGCGTTGAGGCTGACACGGAACAGTAAAAATCTAGAAATATCCCAGCTTTTCTGAAGGAGAGGAAAGGCCTAAAGGGCAAATGTACGAGGAAATCTATGATGTGTAAAGTATGTGTCTAATAAGTCGTAGAATTACCGACGCCCCAATTTTTATCGCTAAGAATATTTTCAAAAATGGCAAGCATCAAAAAACCAGGTTTGAGTGGTTTTCATTTTTTTGTTTTTGGCCTTTTTCTCTGCCGATTTTCAAAAACTATGAAGCTTTTCCATCCCTATTTGCCAGAAAGCGTGGGAAGTAAAAAGGTACGAATAGCATGATTTCGGAAATGCTTCTCTTCCATAATACGATGACAGTATAAAAGAAATGGTTTCCATTTGAAAAAAAGACTTTTTGGTTTAATTTTGATTCTCTTTTTTGATCAGCCTGTACTATTTATTATCCAAATTTGTAATGAAATCTACTAAATAAGATGCCCTACTGTAAGACACTCATTACAAATCATATGGTAAAAGCAAAAATTCGAGAAAAAAGTTGTAAGTGATTGACCTGCATTTGTCTTTTATTAAATTTAAGATATATCTCAAATATAGTTAGGCTAAGGTATTCGATATTTAAAAAAATATTTTAGCTAAATTGTTCCCGGTACTTATACTATAGACCCAAATTTTCACTGTTTGAGTAATCGATCAGATTCTATATGAGATAGAATTAGTTCTATACAGGGTATAAATAGTCGGTGGTTATAAATATACTAACGCCAAAAAAATAGAGATATATCCTCCCCCTTCTCCTGCAAGCCCTTATCCCCAATCTTTTGCACTTGGAGAAAGATTCCAAAAATAAGCAGGGATCTCTGAAATGTCAAAAATGAGGTTTGAGCAGTTTTTACCTTTCGTTTTTTGTCTTTCTTCATTTCCGATTCGTAAAACTTACAAAGCTTTTTCGACCTTGACATAGTATTAACTTTGTGTCAAAATTTCATCAAAACAGTGAAATCAACATACACATACAGGCAAGCAGACCGACCGACAGAAATTATTGACATGGTTTTTCGTGATGTGCATGTCATATAACATCCAAAATATGTTAACCTTATATTCGAAATGTTTTGCTAATGCAATTCTTGCTCGCCAATATGCGTGGGAATTAATAATAATTGATGGCATTTTTCTTAATAAACATTACGAAAAACAGCCAGATACACTTTTCAATCAGAAATAACATGATTCTGAGGAAACGACACTTATTTTTACTACAAATCAGCGGCTTACAATTTTCGTTGACTATTAGGTTTTGTTTATATATTGGGAACAGCGAATTTACGAATCCATGTTTATATGAACTTTTTTTCAAATTCAATATGCAATTTCAGTTGAACAACCTCAACACACCAACCATCAAAAACAATAACGTAGAAGCCAAATCTAAGCAAACCAATGTTCCTATGAGGACGAAGTCTGAGCCAAATTTGGCTTTGGACAGAAACAGAGAAAAGCATAGGCATAGAAGGAAGAGTAGCTCAAAATTTAGGAACGAGTGGAATGATGGGGAGACCAGGCAACTAAAGGCTCAGAAGCAACAATTTGGATATGATATTCATGACGTGGATGCTTTTTTAACAAGGGTAAGTTTAAACCTCAATTTAGTAGACAAGCATGCATCGGAAATGGCCTAGTTGCCAGGCTTCGCTCTCTCCACCACTACTATTACTTACCCTTGACCAACCTCAATTAGGTTTGTCAAGGGCAAATTCAGAGGGAAGCGTGGGGGCTCGCATAGACGCCCAAATCTGCCATTTTTTCAAAGAAAATAAGAACATATATTGCTGTATCTTAGTGTATAATTACCTTCCTAGAGATGAGTCGGGAGACGTGCGCCCCCTAGACCTATTCCACCCCCGCAATTCTATTTTGTTTTTACGAGTATAAGGGCATTTGCTCTCAGAGGCACTGCAAGCATGCAGTTGCTAATGCCGCTAACCCCCCTATCCCGAGACGAACATCTTCCTAAACATGCTGCAACCCGCCCTTGAAGTCTGTTATTTCTTTGGTACAGTGAACAGTCATTTCCGATGGATTCACAGCAAAAATCAACTTTGTTGCCCAACTAACCGATAGAGCTTTCAATCTTTTTTGGGCGATAATAAAAAACTTATTACGCAAACAATATATAAACAACTGCTATAAATACTAAGACAATGCAAAAAGAGCCATGGGAACCAAAGCTATATCCGAATTCTCAATCCCTCGGCATGTTGGTAATTTTAGATAATAACCAGTTATATAGATGAAGGATGGGAGTTGTATAATTTGTAGGTTACAAACCAAAGACCTGAGAGATATAGATATTACCAAGTACCCACAAAAGAATGAGATGGGCCTAGGAATCAAAAAGGCAAGGAAGGAAAATCAAGGCATTAAATGCCTCCAAAGTAGCTTCATGTTTTCATTTATTTAAATGTAAAGATACTCTTAGTAGCCCCATAAAAACATTTTAGGTTTATTTGAGGTTTAGAACGGTTTATTCTGGTAAATAAAAAGATAATAGTTATAAAGTTACCTTGTAGATGTACTGCCAGAACTAAAGAACTGTCAATCATGTAATACTGGTTTTAAAGAATCTTAAGTCTCAATTAACTTTAAAACTATTCCGTCTTATGAAGAACTTGCATGATGTTTGGCTTTATTGCGTTCTAGTTTGTGACGTTGTAGTCTTTATGCAGTTTTAAAGATTCCCCAAAAATAAGTAATAAAACCCATTATTAATTCTATTTGATCTTAAGACTATTGTGTCAGTAAATACCAATTTCTTCTGTTTTCCCAATGCAATTGGTAGGCTATATTAAAAATGAAAAATGAACGTTCTTGACCAAATGAATTTGGTTATCGTAAAGACTAACTACAGGGTATGTCCGGAAAGTAATAGGACTGAGTCGATTTAAAAAAAAATATTGAGCCAATCGTTACAATTCTTTAAAAACTTTCAAAATAGGCTCCTTCTGCGTCGATGCAGTGCTGCCAGCGCGATTTCCAAGCATTGAAGGCATCACGGAAGGCATTCTCCGGAATAGCCTTGAGAGCCACGGTGCATGCTGCTCGGATCCCCTCTGTCGTCTCAAAATGCTTGCCTTTAATCGGCCTTTCCAGGCGAGGAAACAAAAAAAAAGTCCATGGGGGCACATCTGAGTTGTAAGGCGGCTGCGGAAGCGTTGGGATGCCGGCCTTGGTAAGGTAGCTGTTCACGAGACCGGCGGTGTGAGCCGGGGCGTTGTCGTGGTGCAACTTCCAGTCGGCTGCGATGTCTTGTCGGACCCGACTGACCCTTCGTTTGAGTCTCCTGAGCACTTCCACGTAAAACAGTGAGTACTTTTGGGACCATCTTCGCGCACACCTTGCGCATGTTCAACTGATGTGTCACAATGTCATGAACCACAGATTTTGGTAAATTTAACATCTGGGCAATTAAACGAATACTTAGTCGACGGTCTGAGTTCAAAACTTTGCGCACACGAGTCACATTATCGGTGTTTGTCGAAGTCGAAGGTCTTCCAGCACGGTCTTCATCAGCGACCTCTTCCCAGCCCTCCAAAAAGACCTGGTGCCACCGAAACACACCACTTCTTGCTAAAGCATCACCTGGGTAAGCCTGCTTGATCATATCAAACGTCTCTGTCGCAGATTTACTGAGTTTCACACAGAATTTAATCGCGTACATCTGCTCTAACGAACGCTGCATTTTCGGCTTGCACCACTCACAGAAACACGTCGCGCGAAAATGCATGTCCTGACTATCCAAGTGCTCGGAGACAACTGACCAGCCGCTCATTCGTTAACTAGGAACGCCCTCTACCGAATCCAGTCGGTGCGCGCACGCTCCGAAGTACAGTCATGGCGGAAGAAAATGAGTCCTATTACTTTCCGGACAAACCCTGTATACTTCTTGGTAAACAATAAACCTAAGCCCATATCCTCTTCTTTCATGTCCACAATGGACGCTGCATTGGGTTAAAAGTGAAACAGTGGTGTAGTGTGTTGTCAATTTTGGCAATTTTATTGTTAAAACATCCTAGCACTACCATTAGGCGACTTGAAGATTAGATTTACATTATAACCGAGCGGCATTCATCACAGTCGTATTCAAACTAAAGGGTTCTAATGCCAAGGCCACCATACTTTTTCTTATGATGTGCTCTTGGAAAATCCTTTGATCCCAACGTTTCTCTGTTGATTGACTAAATGGTTTTATTTAATTTTCGGACATATTTCAATCACGAGACCTAGCAACCATGATGGATAACAATGTTGAGGCTTACATAAAAATGATAAATTATTAACTTAAATGCGTAATTCCGATTTGTTTTAACATTAAAAAAAATATATATAGATAAAACTGTTTTTCTTTCAAATTGATGTTTTCACATTTTCAATTTTTTTGGTATTGTTTTTGAAATGTGGAACTTTGTTTTTTAATACTTTTTAGTGTAAACATTTATCGATGTCGGGCGCGCAAATATTTTTCTACCTTTTCAGTCCGAAATAACCATCTACTTTTCATTATTTTATAGTTACATATACGAGGCCTGTACATTAAGTGATGAGAGTGGAAACGTAGCGTTCGATCTGACAACACTGAAGGCACTGCTTGGAGGTGAGACAGTGGAACATGTGATACTCTTTCAGTATTGGTTTGAACTCGCTCGATCCATTTGGTTGTCTGTAGCGATGTTTTTGTGGAGCAGTTTTTCCTAATGTGTTCTAAAATGAGTGACATCAATTTCGAGCAACGGTTTGCTATCAGGTTTTGCTTCAGACTTGGACACACTGCATCGAAACCTCTTGCTAAACAGGCTTAAGATTATGTTTTGTCACGAGCCCAGATTTTTCAGTGGTTCAAGGCATTTTGAGGAAGGAGAAAGTCGATCGAAACGAAAGGCCTTCATCTTCCAGAACCGATGGAAATATCGACAGAATTCGGGATCTTATGGATTCAGATCGTCGGTTGAAAATAACAGAATGATAGAGATGATAGAGGAAGAGTTAAATTTGACTCACACCACTGTTCATCCGGTCAAGAACACAGCAATGTCAATAAACGAGTTTTTGGTCAGTAAAAACATTCATCTGGCTCCTCAGCCTCTTTATTCACCTGAATTGAGTCCTTGTGACTTTTTTCTCCTCCCGAAGATAAAAAATCAACTCAAGGCAACTCATTTTGGGGTAGTCGGAAACATTCAAATGGCTGTACTGACCAGCTGAAGGCTATTCCAATATCGGACTTCCAGCACTGCTATGAGGGGTGGAATAACCGTCTCCAGCGCTGTGTGGCTTTAGAACGAAAATATTTTGAGGGTCACAACATAAAATTATTGTAATTATATTTGGATAAAAAATTTTAAAAAATCAATCTCATCACTTAATTAACAGACATTTACCTCTTTAAAAGTATACATTTGATAAGCATTTTTAAATGCGATGCATTTAAGCTGGTTCTAGAAGTACCTCTACAGTTGTTTTAAAAGCAGTTGCTCAAGATAATAAAGTTTTTATTTTTAGTTTTTCGGCTTTCGGTGTGGGCTCATTTATAGTGAAGGCGAGTTTATTACAACCTTAAGATTAATTTTAAAGCAAATTTGTTTCAATTGCAGTTTTATTTCACAGCTTTTACATATCCTTAAAGTTCTTAATAAACCCGATCGTGCTATATACTTAGATAGTTCAGCAGCGAATTACATGTTCCCTTATTTAGGTATTGAACTTGCTGGGAATTTGGCATTTGGATATGGCAGACGTACTCGTTAGGGAGAGGCTTGTTGGTTTGGAACCATTCTTAGGTGTGTTAGTTACACAGACAACAGATGAGAGAATTTCGAGGCAATACTCTGAAGTGGGGTACCATCTCTGGTCATCTATGTCAGACGCGAGAGCTTAATTTAGGGGCTCGTTTCAAGACTGAATGCTTTTGCTTAAACCTAAATGGAAACAACCTACGGAGGGACTGTTGTCCGGGCCGCCACTTACATGTGATGGGAGTGGCCGAAGAAGGAGAAAAACTCTCGGAGCCCATTTTGTGCCGTTGCGAAGCTCTGTGATATTAGGTGCTGGTAAACGATACTGAGGTCCAGGACTTTGGATACCAAGGAGATGATGCACAAGTCCATACTTCTATCACATATCCTAGATCCCCATTTAGAATAATTTGAGGTCTGAAACTTTGTTGAACAATTATAATGTCTATGTTTTCTCACGTCTAGACAACAGGTAGACCGATTCATGGTCATATCTCCCGGTATAACCGTCTAGCGTTTGGGCTGTCAGATAGGCAATTAGGGGACCAATACATGATGCGATGGATGAAAGGCTGATTTTTGACTGTTGTAAAAGACGCCACCCATTTGCTCTCGTGTCCAGACACCCAGAGTCCACTCTGGGTGACCGTTGGACTTCATGCAAGATTTGAAATTAAATAGAAAACACAGTGTTCAATGATGAAATATTCAACCTGAATACCTAATAGGTATTATACTCTTATTAGCGCGTACCTGAAAAATTATCCCGAAATGAAATACCGTAGCGCCATTTATGAGAATTTGTCACAGCTATGTAATTTTTATTGAACCGTTAAAATTTTAATTAGGCCAATTAAAAAAATTAATTAACTATGTGACAGATAGTTAATGTAATTTCTGAAACAATTTACTTGAATGTATGAAGTAGTTTAATTAAACCAAAACGTAACCGATGAATATATTTAATAAATCGTCTACCTAGATTGAGTACAACTTATTGAAAATTAATTAACTGTTAAAATGAGTTTACCTGCTCCAAGTAAAACAATTTAATTATACTTGAATTTGCTTAATTGGTTTTGGTGAAAGTATTTGCCTGGTTTTAATCGAATTATTTTATTCAGATTTAAAAGGTTATTTGGATAATATTTGGAATTTAGAAGAACAAATTGCATTTTACTGAATGATGTATATTATAACTGTGTTCTGATAAATCTTACTTTTCAAACAATTTGGAATACTTGGATTAAAAGCTGATGTTTTCGAATCATAATAAAAATTACCGAATTTTATAACCATAACAAAATTTGATATTTACTATTTTCATTGATTGTGAACTTGTTATATACACGAGAAACTGATTAAGGCCAGTTGATCTTGCGTACAAAAATTGTACTTTTATTTCTGATAATAAAACAATATTACTCTCATCCGCATTCAATGCATTTACATATATACATAAATAAATTCGATATCACTTTAAATAAACTAGGATATTTTCAAATAATACAATACAAAAGCACATCAAGTCTATGTTATGACGTCAATATAGCTGCATAATATAATTTTCAAAATTCTTCCCATTCCGTCACGTCAGCAGTGACTCCGCTATACAGAGCGCTTCCTGGGAGCGGGAAATATTTATGGTTTTGGGTCACTAAGCGCCTTATGCTCGAGTATTGGACTTGATCTCCATAATTGATCCACTTCACAGCTACTACACGAACAACGACAGCATTCGAATATGGAGCTTCTCGTGAGAATCGGAGTCGTCCCCAGCACTGCATCTGTCGCATACTCCCGATCATTTACGAATGCAGGACCGAGTCCTGCCGAGTACGCGATTCAAATAAACAGTTTAACTGTTTTTATTAAAATAAATAATTGTTTTAGATGTACCTTTTCTATATAAACTAAGTTGCGCAAACTGATTAAACAGTTTAAAACAAGTATATGGTTTGACATTTTCAAGCAAATTAGTATGTTAGTTTCAATTAAACTGGTTCCAGAAAATTCATTTTGATTAAACCGAATAATTTGGTTACTTAGATAATTAAAAAATGTTTAGCGGGTAATGATTAATTTTCCAGAAGAAGTGCTTAATTGAGCACTTTTTTCGTAGATGGCGCTGTAGCTATTCTAGGAGACACTAACCTCTTCAAAGTAGATTCCAAATTATTGCGAAGAGGGAAAGATAGCTGTGACAAATCTTCATTTCATCTCGGATAATTTTTCGGACGCGTGAGTACAGTATTAGGTAGGCTATCTTCAGGTAGAATACGTTATTCAATGAAGTGTTCTTGTGAAAGCATATAACTGCGGTTACGTAACTTTCTGATTTAGGAACTTTTTGTTGAATCATAAAGTACAGATAAACGTGTGAGCGAATATCTGCGTGCTTTTTTGCCCAAATTGTGTAATATTCATGTAGATTCAATCTTGCCATTCAATCCGAGGAACAGTTCATTTGCTGCATGAGAAATATGATATTTAAAATATCCAGGTCGTGTAGTTTCTAGTTTCGTTGACCAGAATTGGCTCACGATCACATGATTTTATCGGGTTATTTTAAGCCAAAGGTTAATGCCAACGATCGCACAGATACGCTTAGGACATACGTTCATATGAATTTTTTTCCTTAAAATAAACACAAGATTTTCTTAAATATTATAAATTACTTTTAAAACTTATGCATGTAACATTTTTTCAGGCCAGTCTAGAGAAACCAGCCAACATTCCAGTGGTTTTGGCATTGCCAAGCGTCTTGTACCAGACGCGACCTGGAGGGTACCAAGCTGAAATGGGCCTGCCCTTGGGAACCGTAGTCAACGCAGTTTTCAAAAATAGGAAATGGCTGTATGTCCAAACCCCTCATGGGAATGAAGGCTACGTTAGATATGCCGCATGTCTACCACTAGGTTAGTAACAGAACCCAAGTTTATATTGAGCGAATATTTTTTTATACCGAAGCAGCTGTGTTGACAGAAGCCTAAATACCGGGGCACGGCGGCTACTATAACAAGCATGAAGACACTTTGTTAACCGCGGCTGGTATGAGGATCCCAAAGAAATGTTGTTAATCCTATTTTTGAACAGCCTAAAGTTAGCAAAACTGGGAAAAGCCTTCTCAGGCGCAATCTTGGCACCGTAGTGATAAAGGAGCGATCGTACCGGTCAGTTCTGTACGGGTCTGCCTGGCAGGCTCATCGCGCGGCAGCATCGTGGAAGAGAGCTCTCAGGAGCAAATCCCCTTGACATAATGGCAGGAGAGCGCCAGACCACCGACGTCACATCGGGAGAAAGTATTCCAAGGCTGTCTGTTAGAGAAGTCGTCCATGATCAGTCGAACAGTCTTCCTCTGAATAGCACTGCGCTTGTATAATGTAGTCGGAGCTGCAGCATCCCAAACATGTGAGCAGTACTCGAGGCTAGATCTTTTCTGGGCCTTGTACAGAGCAAGGAGGTCGTTTGGAGAAAAGCACTTCTTAGCCATAAACAAACAGCATAGCTTTTTCCAGCAGCGGCCGCGATTAACTCCGACCATCCGAACTGAACGGCTCTTTGGTGGAACTCGGTCATCTGTCGAAATGCTTTTTAGGTTTTCAGAAAACCAGTCCTCATTTTCTTCCTTTGAAGACATAGTACGGCTTGTTATCCAATTCCCAGATTTGAAGGGTTTGAAGCAATATGTTTTCGAACGGGAAGTCCTACTGAGCCTCAAGCTGTCATCGCACTATCTAGCGGTTGCCTAATATAAATAAATTTAACTTGTGGCATTATTTCTGATGTTAATTAGAGTTGTATGAAAATTGCAATTTTCGAGTTGTGACAGTCTTCTTGCAAACCGACTATATCTGTCCGTATTTTCAAAAGCTTTTATTTAACTTTACCTGTTTGTATGTTAGTATGTATGTGTATGTGGGAAAAATATTGGAACTGAATTTTGGACTAGTTGTCCTTAACCAATTGAGCTGAAATTTTATACACTCGTTTGGTTTGCACGACAATACAAAATGGATCAACTGCCGTCATTTTGGATCCAATATTGCTGAAGCTACAAAACATAGTAATCCTTATGGATCATATCTATGCCCAGAAAGGGAGCTCAAGAAATTATTAATACATGATTAATATGTAAAGCGTAAACACCGATTTTGATGATATACTTATGCTATACTAATAATCCCGATTTTGACATCATACTTTATAAAGCCTTATCAAAACAGAGAAGACAAATAATCCCGAATGTAGAGCAAATATGTATCGATAATTAAAAAAACAATTCTAATCAACTGAAATTATTCCTACTCTTACTGTGTCAGGTAATACGTTCTCTTAAATTATATATAATATCTTAAGTTTAATATTAACTGTAAGTCTTATGCCATTCTAAACAATTTTACTGTACTTCTTTCAAGTTATTTTTTATGTATATTTGCTTTTAAGCTTTTAAGTTAGTTAAGTAGGTTTTGTTAGGTTAAGTGGAAGACCAGCCATTCCTCTGTAGGAATGAAAGCTGAACTTCGCCTTTTCCAAGTATCACTTCCATATCTCTGTATCTTGGTACCAACGAATAAAGATGATTATTATTATTATACAATCACGCATACCCGCGTACAAGGCTAAACTTCTGTGAGATTTCTCTTATGCCTATTAGTCTAAAACGTTTTCGTTATTATCATTTATTTGAATTTTGGACAATAAACATTGATTTTATTATTATGTGGGTATGGACTGAAAGGGCTTAATGACGTCATCCTAAATCCAATATGGCAACAGCCGCAAAATGGCGATTTACATATTCCATAGTAACCCCTGCGACATGGGTATCAAATAAGTGTCTGAGAAGAGAAACTCAACAAGCAAAGTGACGTCATTCCAAATCCAATTGAGCTAAAATTTTGTACATACGGTGTTCGCGTGACAATACACAACGAATTAACTGTCGCTATTTCGAATCCAATATGCTATATGCTACAAAATGACGATTTAACATTTCCATACTAATATCTATGATATGAGTATCGAATGATAGGTCTTGATCAGTTGAATGCGACCGTAGCGTCGATTTTCAATTTTTTTATTTATTTCATTAATAGCTAAATAACAGCTTGTTTTTTATTTTATTTTTAGGTATTATCCCAGCGGAAGCAGAATCTGGAGGTGACCCGACACCATGCTGGGAGAAGTGTACTGACGTATACCCAAAACCTTCAGGAAACATGACAGACACCGAAAAACTGAGCTCTAAGTCAGACTGCGAATCCAGAGGTTGGTGTAGGAATAGATCCAGAGATGTTGCCAGTGCATGTGGGGAGAAAAGCGTTGATAGGTAAGGAGATTCTCAAACTTCGGGTGACGTAAAAAATATATAATAAGTACGGATGAGCTTGCATTCCTGATTCTCTCATTTTAACCCTAATGATGACTAAAAATTAAAGTAGTATTACCTATTTTTCACATCATGTACTATTCAGTAAATAAAAAAGCAAAATAACGCGACTCTGAGGCGCTAAGAGTCCATGGCTGTATGCGAACGAAATTTATATTCTCAACTGTCCCATTTTTTATCCTCTTTTATAAAGTGATACTCCTATGCATGATACCTAATAATCAAAATGTAGTCGTAACAAATTCGTGGAATTTACTTGACGCCATTTTACTTTCTATGCCACTTGCGAAGAGGAGTGTCTATCTTTTTTAAGGGGTGGGGGCTTAAGATTTATGACTAGGAACTTCGAAGAGGGTATTGGTGATAGAAAATTAAAAAGAGGGGGGGTCGACTGCAAATTGAAAAAGATGTTCATATTTTTTTAACTCGGATATTTCATGGGGATGTGATCTGGACTCTCACCCCCAGGGAATTCCCCCTGAGTCTGTCACTGTGCATCACGAAAAACTAGATCACTCATATGCGTCGGTCGGTCGATTCGTGTGTCCGCTAAGACTGTTGGCCCATTTATAAATTGGGAAGTACCAATCAGGTTTTAATGAAATTTTTACACAAGGTTATCACTAAGAAAGGACGAACAAGCTTCGTAGTTTTTGAAAATCGTCCAGGGGCGGCAGAGCTACAGGCAAAAAATGAAAAAAATTAAAACTCATCGAGCTTCGTTTTTGGACGTTTCAGATGATCCTGATAATTTTCAAAAAAGAATCGCATGGGTTAAAACTTTGCTGTTGGGGTTGTAGGGGGTGGGGGAGAGTCGATTTGTTGGACCTAGCAATGTATACGTTTACATAATTCATACATCATAGATTTCCCCAAACAACTTGTATGATAGAGATATATTGTCAATATACACGTGCGAGACAACTCAACGAGCGTTCGTCTGTTTGCTTCGAATAAGTGGCCGGTACTGTTAGTAGAACCGGTGGACTGGATGTTGTCAAATCTGTGGGGCTATGGATTAATTGTAAGAGCCTGTTTGACCGACATGATCCATTTAATGCCTTTGTTATGAATGTTCGCCGCCAATCTTTTTTTAAGAGGGACTAACTTGTACGGAATATAATCGTTAGTGAATTGATGACAAAGTTGCGTAGAAAAAGCAGAATCAACCTACTTGATGCTATGTTTTTTCGCGTAATGCCTATCTACTATGTGTAATGACTCAGAATTAAAATGCAGTCGTAGTGGACTCGTGGAAAGTATAGAGTCAATCTACTTGAAGTTATTTTTTTCAGATTGTACCTACGAGCCGCGGCCATTTCCAAATCCAGAGGCGTTCGTCAAACGTTGTTGGTGATAACAACAGACTTCGAAGGAAGTGGAGGAAACGAGATACGAGTCAAAAAAGGGGATGTAGTGTTTCTGTTGGATGCAAATATCAGGGGGTGGTTTTACGTGAGAACTAAGGAGGGTAGTGAAGGTTATATTCCTACTGAAACGGCTGGACATGGATTTTTGTGATATACAGGATGATACACAATCTTATCAGGGAAATCAAACGGCAAATTCAGTACGTTAAAATATGAAAAAGTTACATTAACATTAAGGCCTACTGGTCTTCTAAAATAAATAAATTTACTTGGCTCCTGATAGTGTTTTGACGTTACCACGACAAATACTAGTTGCCTATGATTCAGGCTTTGTAACAGCAACGGAATGATAACCAACAAAATAACTCAGCTGCTGAGAAGAGCGGGTATGGGCACATATACATCTTATGGAAATGTTCAACTTGTGACATGGGACTTTGTATCAAGCACAACAAATGTTGTTTTATTGAACTCTGTCAAATGATGGGACGTTTTAGCTGGTTACTCATTTCAAAGCTAACAATGTTATCATAACTCATTTATATCTCGGTGTAACATAAGTATAGTTAAAAAATAATATTTATTTTGCCATATATTGGTATAAGCTAGTGTCCTGAACAGAGCATACCCTCCAGGATAACAATCATACATATGTGTATTCACTATGTTGCAAGGAGTATTACGCGACTGAGGCATCACATGGCGAGTGAATAACAGGAACTGCTTAGTGTTACCTGTCGAGAATATCTTAACCCTTAATCATTGGGAATGTTGTCTGATCTGGCAAATAGGCAGTGTTGCAATTTATACCAGTTATGATGACTGGCTATGTAATACTGGTGATAATAATCATTGATTAAAGTATTCTACCTGAACATAGCTAACCTAATGCTATATTCCCGCATCCATACAATTATCCGAGATACAATGAGATACCGTAGCGTCATCCATGATAATTTGTCACAACTGTTTTTCTGTCTACTGTATATACTGTGAAGAGGTTAGTCTCTCACAGATGGCGCTGTCACCACCTATAAGTTTGTATATTTTCATATAGACAACGCCATCTATAAGACACTAAACTTTTCAGAGTATATACCTAGTGTTTCAAATTCGACTCTCACCATTGGCATCTCAGAAACGGTAAGAGATGCTCAGTCGTTAAAATGTGGCTAAAGTTGCGCACTTAGGCAATTAATAAAGAGGTACTTGGAAAGTTTCGTAATTTTTAGTAGACAAAAAGAAAACAGAATTTTTGGAAAAATCATCAACATTGCCACTTTTCCTCCTCTACAATCATCAACTTTATTTTTTCTTATAGACGCCATATCGCCATTTTTGGCCAGATAAAAAGAGCTTTTAATTTTAACTCTGAAAAGGGAAAAATATGTCATACATGGTGTGTGTCAAACCTACTCCACTAAACAAGAAATATTTCAGTGTAAGTTGCATGTTACGTTGTCTGCAAGCAACATTAACATTGCTGTTACATCACAGTTGCATCCATTGTCCCTTTCATTAACGTTAGCGGAGTTACAGTAACTAAGAGGACGTTAGTACTACGAAGTAAACTTGTTGAAGGAATAACATTACCTCACTGTTTCAGAATTTACTCTATGTTTCGTATTGTTAATGTAACTTTTATGTAGCTACTCTGTAACTATAATTTTAAATATGTTCGTTTTACACTTTACATTAATATTACAAATTTCATAACTGGCCACCAAAATAAAAAACACCACGACTATTAAATAAACAAATAACAAATTTACTGATGTATCGTTTAAACTTGGAGGCATTTAAGTACATAGATTGAATAAAACATTGCCATTGAAATTGATATGAAGTTTGTGTACCAGTTAGAGACATATTGTCAAAAGGTATCACAATGAATTTTTCTTCGATTAAATATTGTGTTCTTAAAACCAACAATATTCTTACATTTCAAAAACAGTATTATTATTTGTGAAGGAAAATGGATGGTAGAATACTAACTCAGTTTAGTAATCCATATTCATTACCTTATTGGTACCTATACTCTTTTTTTCCTTGGTTTGTGAGTTCGAAGGCTTTATCAGTTGCAGAGGGGAACACCCTTTTAACACTATCTGAAAGCATATTTTTGAATAATTCTACATCATCGACACCTGAGATTTTAAAATGTTTCAAAAAAATGTTTTGTAGAATATGTTTTCCCTGGTTTTCGTAATTTCTAAAACAAATCAGTTATTATAGCAAATAGTATGGAATTTCAGTATATTTATGCATAGCACTTGAGGGGCCATTATTCAATATGCGCAATAAAATTTTAAAGAATATTACCTATCATCGTTCTTCAAACATAACTTATTATCTACATTACTTTTTCCTGTTGTGTATTGTCCATTTTTGAATCAGAACTACAAACGTGTGTCTTTTGTAGTCGGTGGTCCGGTAAAATCGAAAATCAAAATCACAGCTTGCACACGTTAACACCATGTAAAAAGAGAAAGTTAAGATGGCCTTCCATAACTGATGTAAACAATTATGTTCATTCGTCACATGGTTGTTCCGATGTACTAACGTATATCTAAATAGTAATACAATCACGTTACCAGTTTACAGAGTAGTAACATTTATGTTACATCACTTGGCAGTATGATCGGAAACATCAAGCTAACAAAAATAAATTGTATCAGATATGTTGCATGCTACATCTACACACACATTGCTTCTCCTACATGGATAATCACAATACGTTATTACGATTAAATCACCAATGCACCAGTTTTTGAGAAGCACATTTGAGAGACACGCAGGAATAATAAAAACGTTTTTGGGGAAGTTCGGTTTATTTTGTCTATCACCGGAAATAGCAGGAAGTGTGAAACTTTTCATGTACCATTTTCTTAGTTACCTAAATGCGCAACTTTGCCTCCATGTAACTTAACTTCGCATCTGCTCTTACCGTTTCCGAGATCCCAATGGCGAGAGTCGAATTTGAAACACCCGGTATAGTGCATAGAGAAACGGCTGGGACCGATGCTCATAGATGACGCTACCGGTAACTCATTTTACCTGGCGTTTTGATCAGCAAGTCTCTATTCTATGTTACGCGAAATAATGGTACCTACGTTACCAGTTTTTGCAAAACATAATGTCTTAAAAGCTGCAATTAAAAACTGCCTCTTGGAGCTTCTCGTTGAGAAGTGTCGTTTTGGAAATAAAAATTGTTTCAGTAAAAGTCGAAAAATAGAAATTGATCTGGTACTTTCTTAGTAAACATATCAACGAACATCTCGGAGAGACACTTTTTAAAAGAATCAATATGGCTTTGAGCAAACGACATTTTTTTGCATAAACCAGTGCCAGTGGTGTAAAATTTTTCGCTGTCATGGCAACGTGGAATTTCCTGATTGATTTCATATTTTTACGTGCTGACTGTTCTTAAATTGTAATGCTGATTTGTAAATTGTTTCAATTTCAGTAGTATAACTTGTAAAGATATTTATTTTCGATAAATTTATGTGTAGATTTATATTTTATTAATAAATATACGTGAAAGAATACATGCTATGAGTTTTTCTAATCTCTTTCCATATCAAACTGATATATATATATTCAGTTTTTCCTCAACCATTCAATAATGTTCCTAAATAAAATAATTATTTGAAAATCTGTAAATTTTGATCAATTTAGAGCCAAACTTATAAATGTTAAGAAAAGCGCCTCAAAGTATCTAAGGAACAGTTGGTTTGAATAGGTATACGACTTTTAGTCCCGGGAATATATTCTGAAACTGATTTTTTATGATCTTACTCGAAAAGGGCCCCTATTCACAAATCTGCATGTACCAGGCCCAAACTTGCGTCAAAAATTGTAAATTTTTAAACAAATTCCAAAAATTGCATTTTTCGCTCCGATCAAAGTGTGTTTAAGTTTTTGTAACATTCTGAACAAAAAAAAAAACGAAAATATTACTTTGACAATATTCCTAAACATTCTTCAAATATCCATTAACAAAATCCCATAGCATTTCAAGTCGTATCGTTATTGTAAGCCTTTTCTTTTTAATTGTTAATCGAGCACGCGCTCAATGGATCTCCATCGCGGCTAGCGGTCGCCCCTCCATATTGTTTGACAAGGTAACATTTAAAGATAACAAAGGTGTACAATGACAAAGCTCCTCAGATGCTTCGGAATTTTGTTAACGGATGTTTGAAGAATATTTAGGAACATTAGCAATATTAAAATTTTCGTTTTTTCATAGTGTTTTCCCCGAGGGGTTGAAAATGGCATATCTCACTTTTTTCAAATACCGTTTCGCCTTTATCTCAAAAACTATATCTTTAGAGAATGTTCTAAAAAAACCTAAAGACACTTTGGCGAACGACAAAAAAAGAAATTTGGAACTTGCTTAAAGAATTGTTCAAACAAGTTTTGACGCAAATTAGGGACTTGCATTAGGAGATTTTCGAAAGATATTATACAAAAAAAAACGATTTAGAATATTTTTCCCATCAGATGCGAATAATTAGTTTTGCACCTTAATTTAAGTTGATGTTATAGTAGGCCATGAAAAACATTTTCCAATCGACAGAGTGCTAATCATGTAGTCGGATTGCTTGGATCAAAGTACATCAGAGCATGCTGCAACATGCTATTTCGAGCATGCTAGTCGTAGTCTTCGTCCACGTGTGCATGATAGGTTGCCTACCCTATACCCTTAAAATCGTGAAGTCGTTAAGACGCCAGGGTTGCCATATTGGGGGATTTTATCCAAATTCGATTTTTCTTCCCTCGGGGAAATTTTTTCACTGATTCACAGGACTTCGATTCCACAATCCCCAAATGGCAAATGCGCTAATCGTTTTGAGCACAAAAGATTTGAGTTGTGCTCAACCATTGTACAAAAAACAACTTCAATGCTCCGTTCACAGAGTATTTATATTAGAAAAAAAATTGAATTACAAACCGATAATTCCCTTTTCATGAATCGTGTTATTCTCCCGCATAAGGCCCTAAAGCTAATTAGCTAAGGGACAACTTACAACAGAGGTTTTACGAACGACTTCTAATTTTATAAATTTATAAATTACACGTTTCGCTTCCCCCGCTCTACGAACCAAACCTAACCCTTCTCATTAATTTAGGGTGATTTGGGGGCTTTTTTTTTAAAAGCTGCGATTCTAAGATGTTAATGCTGTTCTGGGGGAATTCTGTCTGACTCATCTGGCAACGCTGGCGTCAGACGCTCAAGCGGTGTTTTCTGTTTTCATAAATGTGAAATGTAAGTTTTTGATAAACATTTCTTGTTAATAGTGCTGATAATGGTGAACAAACTGAATAAAAACTTTTATAACACAGTATTATGCCAAGCAATTAGTCCTTGTGGCAACTACTTGGCTGTGGGTGATATTTATGGAGTGGTTTCTGTTTTCCAGTAGGTATAAATAAGCCTTTGAAATATTTTCTATGTATTATGTTTCCTGGATATACCTAAGGCTTTGCTTAAGATATTTGAGTTCATCATTTCCGTCGATATGCCTGCTGTCTATTATTTGAAAAGTATCACATTGTATTTTGTGTTTCATATTGCAGATGTACTCGGCCAAAGAACAGCACTTATAACACTTTGGGCTGCTTATAGGCCCTCACTCAAAGCTGAATTATCAGCTCTCTCAGTAGAGTTTCCCCTACATTAGCCATATAAGGAAGCTGCTTCCAATTCCAAAAGCAAATGTCACACAATTAGTATTTACTGTAGCCTATACTGATGATTCGACTAGTCAGATGATTTTTACATAACCTTATTCATCAATAATTACTGATGTCTTGACAACATGGTCAATAAATATCACATTCTATGATAAAAAGTACTCATGGACCCAAATGGATCACAGTAATCTAGATTGTCATATTGTATGACATAGCAGTTAGCATTTCACTACTTTATCACTATATGATGCAACTTTTAGCTAAACTGAACCAAAAATTTTATGTTTCACAATGTTTTGGGGGAGGAGGCTTAAGCCTCAAAGACCCTGCTGAATATGCCAGTGTCTTCACTCGTGAAACAGTTACATTGTTGCTATTGGAGACACAAGTATCAAATTACAATCTAAGTAGGTACTGTTATTGCTGTAAGTTTGCAACACTTGAGAGTCAGTATTACCTATTTGCAGATTTTCTTTAATCTAGGTCACAAAGTAAACAATCTTGAATCTTACTTTTTTCTCTAGTTTATCAAGAGTAGTCCAAGCTGACAATGAGGCTGCTATTGCAAAAGAGGAATTAGTGCCAAGGCTTCAAATTGAAGTTAAGAAAGACTACCAAATCAATAGTCTTTTGACTGTTAAGTCACATCTGTTAGTTGGAAGCATAGGTATTATATTATTTCTTACACTAGTGGCCAATGTATTCTAAAATAATATCTATTGTTAGTTTATGGAAAGTACAAAATCAGTCTATTCAAATATTTTGTCACTATTTATCTTTTTATTACTATATCCTAAATTATCTCTATAGGAATAATCTATGCTTATACCTGGAAAAATATCAAGTCAAGCAAAAATGTTACTGTAGCCTGGTCTATTGATATACCAAATAAAAAAGACACATTTGAAAAGACTGAAGTAAATTGCTTGTTGTACAATGAAGAAACTGGTCACATTTATGCTGCATGTGATAAAAACATCTACATTTTTGATCTGGAAACTAGGATAGTGGCAAAGGTTTTGGAGAATCATATGGATTACATTCATTCTCTACATATCAAGTAAGTATGCGATTACCACTTAGTGGGAGCTTTTGCACATTTTATTTTATTTAATTCATATAAATTTTGAGCTTAACACATTGTATGCCTGCATAAGAAACTTGATATAAATGTCATCTATTATGGTGCATTCTGTGTCAGGAAAACTGAATATAATTTAACACAACTCATGTTAAAAGAAGATATGTAGTGAGTTCTAGTGATTGACATGGCACCATGCACCATTGGAATAGTTCATAGTCAGTCAGCAGTGACTATATGGATCCTGTTATATGTACTATTATTTTTTATCCAACTCATTATGTGCTGTTTTCTTTTTCAGTGGGAATGACCTAATATCAGGAGGTGAGGATGGTATAGTAAATATATGGGACTTAAGGTCTTGTAAGGTATTAAATAAGATAGAGCCTTACAAAGATAAGAAGCTAGTCAGAACAGATGCGCATTTGGGAAAATGGATAGGAGCAGTTGGTGGAAATGAAGATTATATTGTAAGTAAACATGCCATTGATTAACATGTTTTCCAAGAAGATGCCTATGCTGTATTTGTATGTTGTATAATGTACATATAGGGAAAGCCAAATTTGTCTGACGGCTTGAGTACAATGTGTATGAGAGAGAAGTGCAAGAAGTGTGTTTCAACAGATGTTAGAAAGAGGTGGAATCTGGCTGAACAGTAATGGTCATCACCACATTTCCTAACGATGGTGACACAAAAGTCATGCAATCTGCTGCATCGCCAATCTGTTACACCAGAAAATGTTCACACATGCTTCTACAATAGGTTAGGTTACTATGAAACCCAAGAAGGAGGTCTGAACATTTATTTATTTTCATTTTGTTAAGACTTACTTATTTCAATTTTTATTCAACATAGTGTTTTAATTTATTTTAGATTTATCTTTGATTTTCACTAATGGTGATAAAAGACATCCTGAGTTATTGTTACATTTTGCGTTGAGTGCGGTCGGAAAATGTAACAAATACCTATACGCAATACAAATTATCACTGCTTGCGAATACATAGGTGAAACCCCAATGAGCGCCAGATGGGTACAACCAAAATCGATCAACTATGATCATGGATGCGCAAATCTTGCCTTGGAATTTACTAGATGCGGTGTTGCGAGGGGAGCCAATGATGCAATGTTGCAGAATTTGTGGCGATCCTAATCTTTCATTTCAACCTAAAATGAAGCGCTGTTAAAACCGATTCGGAATCACTCTTAAACAGATTCGAAACAATTCAGAAATGTGTACGGTCAAAATAAAAAAACAATTATTTGGGCGTAGAGAATAAACGCATATTTTCAACATGCATCTTAATTCAAGGAATTGGAATTGGCAATGCGGCAAATTGCCGCATCAGCGTTGCTGGGCAACGCAATGAAGAGCTTAGCTATCCAGCCAGCTTCTATCTCTTTCTAACGTATGTGTCTATACACACTTCTCTCTCGTACATATTGAACTCAAGCCGTCAGACAAGCTTGGCTCACAGCGTGTGTGTATGTATATATTTTTTCCATTGTCATAGCTATGTTTCCAAATAGAAAGGAAATCGCATATCTTGCACCAACGGTCAGAGGTGATAATGCTGACATCTCAAGCAGGTTTTTGTTATTTGAGCCCAAATACGCATATGTTTTACTTTCGAAGTGCTACTTCTCGCACCAACAGTTCTGGGTGGATTTTCGTTTTCTAGAAACTTTCTTGGTGGATTTTCGCGTTCTCGAAGCGGTTTAGCGATGAGTGAGCGTGAAGTGTTCGATCATCCAAAACAAAGGATAACCTCGTCCTCACTTGTCGCTTTGAAGGCGCTGGATGTTATTTGGGAGCAGGAATGCCTGCACCAGGAAGTCCTGGGCTTTGGTGGTTTTACGTGGTCCTATTTACAAATTCTAATGATGGCTTCTCGCGATCTCGACATTGCTAATGAAACACGCTGTTTAATAGCGCAAAACAAGAGAATTATTATTTTGTATTATGGCATCCAAAAAGGCATCTGAAAGATACTAGCGCCATCTATAAGACAGCGAAACACAAAAATGAGTTCAAAAATCTACTGTGAAAAGACTTAGTGTTTGGTTCTGCTAGTTGTGATAGATGACGATAGGATTTTCAATCCCTGTTTGATCCCTATCTAACGCTTATTTTAATTGGGTATCTTCAGGCAGGTATTAACTTATTCCACCTGAAGATATGTACCTAATAAAAATAGGGATTAGAGAGGCGCTAAGCCATTTAGGAACCAACGCCATCTATGAGGCAGTAGCAGGACCAAACACTTTAACGCTCATTGAGGGGAAGAGAAGCCAAGTGAAGGGAATCGAAATTGTTCTACTGCGTTCTGACACATTTCATGGAATGACAAATGTCGTCCCCACGGTTTTCTTCGCATTGCTATTCTTCAATTTGCGTGCACCTTACTAAAATAGATTTATTTTGTTTTATGCTATTGTCCCATGGATGGCGCTAGTATCTTTCAGATCCATTCTTGGATGCCAGAATACAGTAAATGGTTGGATATTTTCAGGAAGAATACGGTAATGAATGGTGAATATTTCAATTCAACATCTTTGGTTTCATTTGGTGTGCCAGTAAAGCATTGAGAAAAACTCAACTATTCTAATCTTGCAGTTATGCGGAGGAGGTCCAAGACTCTCTCTATGGCACTACCGTTTCCTGAGTAACTTCACAGTTTTCCCGATAGAGGACACTGGTATCCACGTTGCTGAAATCTACAACGACAAAATTCTAGCAGGAGGCACGTCAAAATTCTTCTATCAAATGACGTTTTCTGCCGAGATCCTCTCAGAAATTCCTACGACTGCAGTGACTACCTACAGTGCTGTGCATCAGGAGGAACCTTATAAAGTTCTGACTTTGGCGGGAAGTAGTGGAAAGATTGACGTTTGTAATTTCATGTATAAGAACCAACAGCTTAGTTTGTATTGAGATTGTATTTATATAATTTAGGGTTGATAAATCTTTGATAGAAATAAGCTTCGTTTCTTTTATCCCTGAAACTGAGATACTGAGACTTGCCTTAGTATGCCTCAAAACTCTGATCCGTTAGTAAAGTGATGCTAAATGCGCAACATTGTCAAACAGGCTGCGATGGAGAAGACGCTTTGATAACGCATACGATGAAGCTGTAGCTCAACATCAGGACTGCTCCATTAAGTTCTTCATTCACATTCGTTTTGTCACGCTAAATTTGACATTACTAATGACCAAAAACTATTCACCTCTAGTTATTTTAATGGTTTTTGAGGCTTCGTTGCAATGCCACGCGAAATAAAGTATAGTCCATTTCACAGTTCATCGCAGTTACATCACAATTCCATACGAAATAAGTAAAAAAATAGACCTGGTACCACGTAGTTCAGTCTTGGAGAAATTGCTCTGCGTAAGCCGATCCGTAACGCAGCTACTACTTGCTCTTGCACACACATACCTACTTGTGAACTGGGTGACTGAGAACCGTTATTTTCACCCACATTCCAAAAACACTCCAATAAATTTGGCGATTCATACTTTCACCAGGACATGTACAAGGCGGTGAGGCAAAACTAAAAAAAAGCCGTCATGTAGATTGACTCCATACTTCTCCCTTCGAAACAACTTGTAGTAGAATTTTCCATGTAGTGCAGTGACTGCAGTGGTATCAAAAAGACGTCAGAAACATTAGTGCACTATTTGGGCTCTTGATGAAAAAAAGTTTCCTCAGATTGCAGCAATGAGCGTGTCCGTACAAGGTCCATTTCTTTAGAGCTCTGGAGTAAAACTGTTTGTCACAATGTTTGAAATCTGATTATAATAGACCTTGATAGTATACTTACATATATACTAGTAAGTTTTAAGGGCAAATATGCAGAGAAATCTATGTGTGAAATAATTATTTCTAAAAGGTGCATAGAATTATTGAGGTTGAAATATAAAAACATAAAAAAAGCGGTACAAAAATGATTTGCGGATAGACCGAGGAAATGAATGGCTTGGTTTTTCGTTATGTACATGTCATATAAATCCAAAAAACACATCTCTCTTTAGAAATTTTTCGCGCTCAACAGTACTTCCTCGCCAGTGTCTGCGAGCTTACACAAACAAACGTCCGCGTACAGAAACAGATTCCATAGTATTAGAAAGTAATTCCTGTGGATTTACTATGACCCGCCAAAAACTGTGGAAATAGCTGTATGTAGAGACTTGAAAAGTTCTGACATAGATTAACGTATTCCATCAGTGTAATACGTTAATCAATGGTTCTGTGCAATAAAGTCACTGACTGAATTGCCATACAACTGTTGACATAAATATCAAAATGATTGATCTGTATTGTCTTCATATCGTTCTCATACTAGAATTAGTCAAAAGAACAATAATTGCTAATAATATTTCGAAAGAAAATCATAAAAAAGGTTTATCTGCCATTTTTTTGCTCCAAACAGCTGACCACCCGATAATAGTACATTCTAAATGAGAACTATTTCCCCTCTCCCTATTGCAAAAAAAATCTGATGAAATTATCAACGCTACTAAAAATGCCGCATATTCAACAAGTGAGAATCAAAAATCCAATAACACTGGTAATATAACCTCTTTCAGTTTTGTGTAGTGTTTAGATGTGAATAGAGTGTTGCCTAGCTGTAATTTTGCTGTTAATTAATTTAACAATATGATCGTAATATATGTGGCAATACAGCTACTATGAACGTTTGCTAAAAATATAGATTATGTCTGTTTAGGTATCAACTTACTACTTTATTATGTCGCATAAATTGTATATAAATAATTGATGCTATGAATATGAACTATAAAAAACTAGCTAGGTGGCTATATTTCCATTCTACTAAAACAGTTATTCTAGTTATTGTTAACACCAAATACTTTTTGTAACCTGTTTTTATACTACACATTCAAACATCTTCTATTTTTAGACGTGATAAAAATATTCTCTGCCTACTAATATGTTTCTATGGTTCTACAATAACATAATTATTTATTTGTTCTGAAGAAATACGTATGTTATTCGCTAGTGTTTTTGATTTGTCAATTCACGAATCACCTAAAATGATGACACACTCAGTGTCTGCGATAGCAAAGAGGTCAATGTCTTAGCGTATCGATTGAAATGCGGTTTCGGTGTTGCATATATGCCTGCACATCAGAAAGGATTAAGCTGCTATTTTTTATTTTAGAAGTATTTTCCGTTTTTATGCTTCCATAAACTCGTTGGATTTTCGTTAAGCAAAAAACTGGGTCATAGTTTTATTGGTCCGTTACTTCCCTTAAAAGTTCTACAAGATTAAAAACTATAAAATACTAAAAACATTTTGAGATTTTCTATGAAAGTTACGAAGAGGAAAATTTTGTTCCACAAAATCCTATAATTAGGCAATAATTAGCCTGAATTTTGAATTTTTTCATCAAACATTTTCATTTATCAATATAAACAACTATGGTTAGTACATATCTTATCATTTAATTACCTATTATGTATTGTAAATAAATATATCGATATCAATTTTAAGGCGTTCACCGATTTTCAAACAGTACGATGATTATATACAAACAAAAATGGTTACGGAAGTCAGAAAATACGAGCAAGCTGCCGTAAAGGATATTTTGAAAAATGTAAGTTTTCTCGAAACGTGACACACGTTTCGAGTCTGCTTGTTTTATGTAATATCAGATAGACATGCTTTAGTTATACCATTGACGGATTTACAGTGGCAGTGCTCAAGCCGGCCATTTTTTAGTCAAATGATGCATTTCAATTTAGCTTAAGGAGCACTCTGTATATTTCAGATTTTATTTTCGAGTATAATCTACTACATAGGCTACCTCAACTTCTCAATTACATGGGCGATACTTCTATCTTTACTGAATGTTTTAAATAAAGAAAGAAAACGAATTTGGGATAGCAGAACACAGTTTGTAAGGAAATCTGATGATGGAAAGGAAAAAGATGTAATTTTGGATAACGTCCAGGACCTTCCAGCTTGGGTAAGTTGGACAAATATTTTGCGTTCTTGCGAGAATAAAAACGTATCACTCTTCTATAACCTCTATACCTTCATTGGAGGTACCGAAACGACTATAAATGGCCAAGTCAAAGCCGACAACAGCACAAAGAAACTAATTTATTCTAAGACTAACCTAAAAAAGTGCTCTTAGTGAGCATGGATCAACTCTGTATGGTTAATGGAGCTTCTAATAGAACTCGATGGCCTGAAAGAACGCCTACATAAAATAGTTCTGTATAATTGCGATCTAAACTGCAAGAAATGTGGTGAGAAACAAAATCGGCGTTTCATGTACTCTGACTCAGCGAATTCAGACTAGGTAGAAGGGGTAAGCCAACGATTTGTTTGTCTCCAAAATCGCAGTCTGTCTGTAGTCAAGATGAAAGTGCATACTACAGTTCTGTTATAAAATTCGTATTGTTAGTTTCATTTTTTTAAAGTGTGAGTCTGCAGATAATTGTGTTAGACAATTTCAGGACGGGGTACTTCTTTTGCAAAGAGCGGCACAAGCCTAATGATGCTTCCCACCGTTAGGTATTATGATTATTATGTGTATACAACGTTGTCACTTTGGTAGGCAGTGGTAGTCAAATGAGGCAAAATTCACTAAAACTCCGGATTCCTAGACTTCCTCAGAGAAAGAGACTCTAGAAGCGGATCTAAAATGACGTAGGTACAGGAGGCAATATGCCCCGGGGAGACGGTTGCAGGGGGTTACAGAGTAGAGAATGTTTGTTCTTCAAGAATCATGATGCTCTTTCACTGTTCCCTCGTCTTTTAATTTTTTACTAGGCACATAGTTTTGCCTAAATGTCGCACAGTCCGGAGCCCTCCAGCCGTATTCTCGGTTCTTCGTGGCCCTTCTAGAAAGTCCTTGCTTCGGGCCCGGAGTTCTTAAATCCGTCAGTTTAACTGCTTGTAGGACTCGTCAGGAGGAGTTGATATACCAAAAATCACCTATGTAAAAGTTGTTTAATAAAAAAATAGTAAAAGATTAAAAATTTAAAAAAATAAGAATGTTATTACACAGATCTTTTAATATTCTCGAGCACTGCCGTGTAAAATCTTAGCGTTTTTTGTTTACTACTCTTATCATTCATCTAAATTTGGCAAACTTTTTGTGTTATTGTATGGTTTTCAGTACGAAAAACTGGCCCATGTTACGAAAACAATGAACCTGTGGACATAATAAATATTAACATACGGAGAGTGCTAACAAAATGCAGCTGCAGTATACGGAAAGGTTTCTTTTAAAAAATTATCTGACCCCACGACTGTTTGTGAATTTAGTTATTAGATTTCGTGACACAGGATATTTAAAAGAACAACAAGGAGGTCACTTTGGAAGACCTGCTCAACCTGAAATGTTACAAATTGAGTAAGACATTTTAGAAATGGTCGAAGACGACCCAACAATGAGTACTAGAGCCAAGTTGCTCAAGTTGAAGTTGGAAGACGAATAACAAGAACAGTATTATCCTTATCATTATCAACGGGTACAAGCGTTACAACCTGAAGATCATCCTAGCAGAGTTGCAGTTTGCTTGGCTTTTAGAACAGTTCGGCAGAAATGAAGATTTTACGAAATTAATTTTGTGTATAGACGAGGCCACTTTTACACGAAATGGAATGCACAATTTCCACAAAAAGAACTCATTTTCAACATAGATTTTCATTAAATATTTGGGCTAGCGTGGCATGCTTATTGGACCCACCTCGACTGAGCGGTGAAATTTTCTTCGACCCAATCTACCACAATTATTAGAAGATGTTCCTGTAAATGTGAGACAGAATATGTGGTTCCTATATGATGGGGATCTACCATATCTAAGATGAGAAGTTTATTTATTTATTTATTTATTTATTTATTGAAATCCACCACCAACAGTGTTAACCAATTACTGGTGGCAAAACAACAAAAGAAATAGTAAAAAAACATATAAAAATACAACGAAAACTAAAAACTAAATCATTTCACTGCAAACACTCTTAATGTTCGAAATACTTGTGTTGAACAAATCAAATGTACTCTGTAGACTATTATAACATGAACACATCGAGTACAAAGGTGAGTGCAACAGTAAGTTAATGTTGGACCAGCGAAAGATTGCAAGCCGAAAGAATGCGGACAAAAAATTGCGAAGTTGTCAGATGTTCTACATAAAATGCGGTCCATACATATTAACATATTTAAGATATAGAATTGTTCCGCTGAATTTGGCAATGTAGCTGGAAAACCCAGGCCGCAGGTAAACATCCGGTCGCTGATTGGTCCAAAACTCTTATCTTATCTGAAACTAGAATAACGTGCCGATGGCACGGTCATTTATAAACCTACTCCCATAGGCGTAGGCAGTTGGCAAATACTTTGAAAATATAATTTACTGTTTAGTGGTGATAATGGAATTCAAGCATGGGAAAGTTATTCACAGCCAGGCAAGGGAAATAATAGCAAACGTGATACGTGCTTGCGATGCAGAAGCGGCTAACAATACTTTCGTTTATCCACTGGTAGCTAGAAATGCAAGGGCGGCATATTATACGGGTGTTAGTGAACGAACTATAAGTAAAATTAGAAAAGAAGATAAAGACAGGCAAAATGCAACCTCCACACAGCCTTTAGCTTCTCCCGGAAAAAAGAGATCACGCCCTTCTGTGATCCAAAAAATTGATGGAGTCGATTTTTCCATTATTCGGAGAATGATGGAAAAATTTTACTGTGATTTTAAAGTGGTACCTACTTGTAGTAAACTTCTAATCAAACTGAAGGAAGAAATGGAATTTCCATTTGGTAAAGAATCGTTGAGGCTGCTTTTAAAAGCAAAAGGATTTTACTGGCGTAAATGCCACAACAAAAGGAAATTACTAATGGAAAGACCCAGTATTTTACATTGGCGATACAAGTATCTTAGGTCTATTAAAAAGTTCCGGGAAGAAGGAAGGCATATTATTTATTTGGACGAAACTTGGGTTGATAATGACCTCACTTTCAAGAAATGCTGGCAAAGCGAAGAAATTATGGGTGTCCTGAGCAATATAAGTTCTACAGGTAATAAAGTTTCTTTCACCTCGATTTTGCTTATTATACATTTTTCTCAATTTTGGAATATTCTTAATAAGTGCTCATTTAATTTGTCTAATTGAATACATAATCCCTTGCAAGTATTTTTTTCTCAAAAATATGTTTTTTATACATAGTGATTCAAAAAGGTGTTGGCAAACTTAAAATAACACTAAAATGAGGCTATTTATTCATTTCCAGGACGACTTATAATTGTTCATGCGGGTTCGCAAGATGGTTTTGTTCCTGGAGCCTGTCTCATTTTCAAGGCTGGCTGTGCCACTGGTGATTATCACGGTCAAATGAACCAAGAAAATTTCACGAAGTGGCTTACTGAAAAACTATTTCCTAACATTCCTCCTAATAGTATTATAATAATGGATAATGCACCTTACCATTCAGCTTTGGAAGACAAGCCTCCAACTAGATCTTCTCTAAAAAGAGACATCATCACGTGGTTGAGCAAAAAAGGTATAGAGCATGATCCTAATGCTAAAAAAATGGAGCTTTATGAAATAGCTTGTCTACATAGGCCACCATCTGATGAGAAAAATTATAAGATAGATAATTTAATAAGAAGTTTCGGACACACCCCACTTCGAACGCCACCCTATATGTGTCAGTTTAATCCCATAGAGATGATTTGGGCACAAGTAAAATTTTTCATTAGAAGCCATAATACAAGCGGCGAATTTACTATAAAAAAACTAGATGAAATTTCTAATAAGGCCATCGCTTCAGTAAGTGCCAGTGACTGGCAAAAGGTTATTGGACATGTTATAAAAATTGAAGATGAATATTGGGAAAAAGACAGTCTCATTCAAGAAATACAGGAAGAAATAATAATCAACATAGGAGGTGAAAGTGATAGCAATGACAGTTCCTCAGACAGTGATCATGACTCTAATCAGGATTGAAACTATACTAGATTGGCTACCTTTTAGAATTTTTAGATATTCATTTATTATACTATTGGTTTGTGGCTTTTAGTATCTCAGTAGAAAGTCTAATTCTATGTGTTGTTTATGGGTTATTTCATCAAGAAATTACTTTTTGTTTTCCTATATTTTTCTATTCAGTCAGATATTTTTGACTTGTTGTATTCTATTTTAGAAGAATGCATAATTTGTTTTGCTGTTCAATCATAATGCGTACATAGGAATATTACTTGTTGCCTAAAAAATATATTTATTTTGTTCTCAATATTCAGTGTTTGTGTATATTTATTTCTTATAATGTATGTTTGGTATCACGTCATTATGAATCGCAAAAAAATATTAATACTACCAGTTGTAATAAAATATAAATTCAATTAATAATTCAAGTCTCTCCGATCTCCGCCTATGACTCCATATAAAATCGTCTAATGGTAAGGTTTTTTCATCGCATTTCCCCCTTTCGTCCCTAGCAATCTTTGGCTGGTCGATCAATAGTTCGTGGGGTAGGTAGGTAAAAAGTGAGTGTATTGCGAGTAACAAATTTTGGAGCATTAAATTTAATCTGTGCTAGAAATGATGGACAATCATAACTGCTATGCACTACTTTATGCAGGAATATTAGCGAGTGAATCTTTCTTCTGTTATCAAGACTGATAAACTTGTGCTTCCGTAACAGGTCTTCCTGTGGGACCCCAATGGGTGGGTACGTACCGTCAATTTTGAATGAAAGAAATTTCAGAAATTTCCGCTGAATCTTCTCCAGGGAGCCACAAGTTGTAACATAGCATGGATTCCATATTAGCCGTCCATATTCTAATTTAGACAGTATGAATGAATTATAAAGCATAATCATGGCATCTTTGTTACTTAATTCCTTTGAGTTACGTATTACAAATCCTAATAATCTGTTGACAGCATTAATAAGGTACTCAATATGAGGATTGAAGCTAAGTGACATGTCGAAAATCACACCCAGGTCCTTGCATTCTTGTACTCTCAGCAGAGAATGATTGCCAATTCTGTAGTCAAATGTAATAATATCTAGCTTTCTGGTGTAAGACATAACACTACATTTACTGTAGTTAATTGGAAGTCGATTTACAGCACACCATTTAACTATTTTGGCTAGGTCTTTTTGTAAGTGAGCACAGTCAGTGCTGCAGTCGACATTGGAAAAAATTTTCAGATCATCAGCATAGATTAAGTGGCTGCTGTCGATGTCGCTAACAATATCGTTTATGAACAGTATGAAAAGCAAAGGACCTAAGCAGGAGCCTTGAGGTACCCCTGAGGTTGGAAAGAATTCAATGGATTTGACACCCTCATATTCAACATATTGCTTTCTTCCTGATAGATATGACTTAAGAAAGGATAACAGCTTGGGGGAGAATCCAAAATAGCTCAGCTTCGTTAACAGAATACTGTGATCAAGTTTGTCAAATGCTTTACTAAAATCTGTATAAATTACATCCACCTGGCTATTAGCATCTAATGCAGAGGAGACTGACTGAGTAAAACAGGCTAGGTTAGTTATGGTTGATCTACCCTTCATAAAGCCATGCTGAGAAGTACTTATTTGGGCATGTGTATTGTGGTATAGGAAATTATGAAGCAAAGTTTCTAAGGCCTTGGAAAAGATACATACTAGGGTTATCGGTCTATAATTTTCAACCTGTAGTCTATCACCCTTCTTGAAAATGGGACGCACCTTTGATTCGCCCCAAATTTCAGGAAACGTGTCAGTCTTTAAACATAGGTTGAAGATCTTTGTCAAGGGATGAGCTAAGACGTAGGCACAGTCACGCACTAAAAACGATGGAATTCCATCGGGTCCGGAGGTAAATTTATTTTTCATTTGCTTTAACACTGTAAAACTTCTTCTTCGGAAAAGCTCTGAAGTATTATGTTAGTATGCAAGTCCGAAATATTGATATCAGTTGCGTTCGAAGGCATAGTATATACAGATTGAAAAAATAGCGCAAAAGCATTAGCAATTTCATTGGGTTTGTCATACTGCTTACCATTATAGTTTACTTGGCTGATTGTGGGATTTTGTCCCCTTTTATTACAGATAAATGACCAGAAATTGTTCGGATCCTGAGATAGTCTACTTTGGATATCTACTAGATATTTTTGATATGCGTTACGCTCATCGCGCTTAATTTTTGTCCTTAAGTCTTTGAACTCAGTGTATGTGATCAAACTTTTATCCTTTTTAAACTTTTTGTGTAGCAAATTTTTTCTTTTAATGTCTCTAATCATTTCACCGTTAAACCAAACCGGAAATTTGAGAGATCTGAGACTTGTCCTAAGGACACACATATTAAAAATTTTACGAAGAATGTTATAAAATGTTTCCAAAGCTACGTTTACATCTGTTAAATTGTCAAGAAACGTCCAATTAACCAAGCTTATTTGTTCATATAGTGCTACAAAATTGGCTTTTCTGAAATTATATGATTCTCTGGCGCATTTGATACTCTTTTTAGAATGGAAGCTCATGTTGATTATCATGACAAGCGGAGGATGGTGAACATCCTCAGGTAGTAGGTCATCATAAGCCTTAACGACGCTACATTGTTTATTTGATAACACTAAATCTAATAGCCTATTATTTTCATTCCGAACATCATTGAATTGAGAAAGATCGAAGAAACCCATAAATGACTGAATTGTTTTCTGCTTGTGAGAAGATTGGAGGTGATTTTCATTAACAAATTCCGGAACATTAAAGTCACCTAGTATATAAATACTTTTGCCAAAGAGGTAATCAAGCGATTCTAGATGTTCAAAGAATCTTTCATAGCAGGAAGTACTCGTGTCAGGCGGTATGTATATCACAAAGAAATAAGTCACTTCATTTTTATATCTAAGTTTGATTCCAATTATGTCAATACTGGGAATATCGTCTCTGATAAAAGTCATATTGACCTCTGAAGCAGCAAGTTGATTACGAATACCAATTAAGACACCACCTCCTCTAGAACACCCCATCGCAGAGAAATTTCTGTCCGCTCTAAATACAACATATTTGTCAGTAAATAATTCAGAACTAAGTACTGCAGACTGCAGCCAAGTTTCAGTACAACAGATGATATCATAGTCAGACATAGCGACATTTACAAAGAATTCTTTACACTTAGAGTTCATACCGCGTACGTTCTGGTAGTAAACAGAGATGCGACGATCAGAAAAGGTAGAAGTAGAAACTCTTACAAAATTTTGAGTATTTAACTGTTCATAAGGGATTTCATCGGGAAAATCCGAACTAAGAAAAAAATAACCTAGCTTTAAACTCCTCAACCTTTTGTAAGTAACATGGGCACCTAGAATCCCAAGCCGCATGTGACATGTCATAGTTGGTATTTCTATCTAGATTATTTCTAACATAGTTAATACATTTTAAGTTCGTGGCCTTGCAGTTTTTCAGTAAGTGGCTATCGCCACACCGAGGACAGTGAGTTTGGCTCTTACATTGACCAGAAACATGGGAGAAACCACTGCAATTGAAACATCGCTTGATAGAAATTTCATCATACACGCCACAAACATCATACCCCACGAATAACTTACCCTTGTTGACAGACATAATTTTATTATAAGTACCGTAGTCTAATTGAAGGATGGCTTGGAAAATGTCAACTCTTTTCTTGATTGGCTTAATGTCTATAACCTTACATTCAAATTTCTCACTTAGCACATCTTTATTTTGAGACTTAATGGAATTAATAAAGTTTTCCGCAGATTGTTTTTCAGTCATACCCGCAACCCGTACTCTAGGACTGAATCCAGCAACCTCCTTGATTTCGTACTTGTCAGAAAGCTTCTCCGCAGCAATTTTCTTGAGCTTGAGATTGTCGTCATCAGAATTGCAACCAATTAGGATCCCCCCATTCTTTACGTTCTTGACACCGGAAAGCTGAAGATTTTCTGCGACTGGATTCACGTGATGAAGCATGTCGGCTTTAGTGGCTTGTGTATTTTGCGTTGCATCTTTAGGTTTGATGATGATTGCCGATTTTCCTTTCGTAATAGCCGAATACGATTTCTTATCATTGATCTCAGGTAACTCAACAGTACTAATTTTTTTCACGGCAATCTCCAGAATTTCTGAACGAACACTAGAAAATAGCTGATGAATTTCGTTTACCAAGCTGGATAGTCTAGCATCTAGAATCTCGTGCACTTCGCTGGTATACGATTGGCACGGATTACATTTCCACGACAAACCGTTTCTCTTTTCAATGGTTTTTACTACATCAGCTGATAAGCCCTGGCAAGCGGCATGAAAAAATTTTCCACAAAAACCTTCACATTTAACACTTTTTGTTCTAGCACTGATAGAGGAGTCACAATAACTGCAAACTGGATCACTCATAATTACAGATCGTGGTGTTGCATCGGTTGCGTATTCAAGAACAGGGTGTGTGATGTTATAACGAGTGATTTAGTTTTTACTTGAAATTTTTACTTCTAGTCTTACTCGAGCTATTTGACCAAATACGAAGAGCAAACATAAACGCGTGCGGTTGTTTTGCTAGCAGAGTGTGTAAAGTTCATGCACATCTAAATAATGAGTTTCAGAGTAGATGGATAGGGCGCAATGGACCCATCTCTTGGCCTGCTCGCTCCCCGGATTTAATGCCTTGCAATTTTTTTCTGTGGCGCTATTTGAAAGAGTTGGTGTATCATGATGGAGCAGTAAATACTCTGGAAGAACTTCAATAGCGCACTGAATATGCTTGTTATTCAATTCGTGAACACCAGAATTTTAGCTTGTAAAGAGTCGAGGATTCTCCGAGCAAGATTTTGCGTGAATCGAACAAATGGAGACAATTTTGAAGTTTTTCTATATCAACTTGTTTTGTCGAGTTCTACAAGCTGTTAAAATAAATGACTCAACTTTGAAAACACCCTGAATAGTCCAATATGCTACATTTCTCTTTGATTCGATGCTTTATTTGTCTTTTCACATTCCCAAAAAAATTTACAGGTGTTTTTCCCAGATGTCGAAAGGGCTGAATGGATCAACAAAATAATAAAACAATTCTGGCCTAACATCAATTATTATGTACGAGACATTTTAAAAGATTCCGCTGAAATAGCTTTGAGGAAAAACCTACAAGGATATGGTTTGAGGGGGTTCACTTTTGAAAGAATAGTTCTCGGTAATGTGGTAAGTAAGGATGAATAACAGTAATACAAATGGTTATAGGGTCTTTGAAAAAAAATACCCAAGTAGAAAGTTAAAGATAATAAAGGGGATCCTTATTAAAAGTTGCTACAATTTTTCAATTAACTGAAATAAGCTAATCAAAGCCCGAAGATACCCAATTAAAATAGGCATTAGAGAGGAGCTGAGAAGACTCGCGGGCCTTCTATGAGAATCTATAACTTCCGTACTTACCTACGTATTCTGATTACATAAACGTCATATTTTTCCAAAATTCATCATTTTATTAAAAAACAAATTTTGAAATACCTATTGAAGCATCCTTTACAAAAACTGGCAGCTAAAAATATTTCCGTATTCCAGCCATTTAGGACAGGTGGAATTATCGTATATGAGAATGTATCTAGAGATGAGATTGTCATGGATATCGACGTTACGTAAGTCTTACGAGTATTGTTATTTTGTTAATAAAAACTCTTAGCGTTATAAATGATACAATGATAAAAACATTTAAATTCAATTCTATCCATTAATGTACGTATAATCAAGGAGTCAATCTACTTGACAGTATTTCTGTTTCAGTTACGCTGGAGACTGTGACATTAAATTCCGCATCAGTCGCCTTAAAGGAGGGATCAAAAACTTCCAGGTGAAATAAGTTCCGAATTTTCTTCAATTATAACGATGCTTTTTTCTGAATTCCCCAAAAAATTTTAAGTAACTACCACCTCGTGGAATACGTTAATGAATGCTCAAACTATCAAAATAATAATTAGACTACCTATTTAAGGGCAACCTGTATAGATATCTGTCAACAGCTATCGGTTAAATAATAAGCAATTTGAGGTTAGTAAAATTTGAAACTCTTCTGTTACTTTGTTGCTAAAAGTTAAAGCTATGTGATAATTCACAGGTTTTGAGCAAAATTTCTGTTTTCTTAAAGTTCTCCCCATATTTTATTGCATGTGCAGACATATAACGTTTAGATGATTGAAGAGTAATAAGCGATTCAATATTCAAAAACGCTCCACTTAGTCATCCTAGCTAGTCCAACATTCAGGAAATTAGTAGTTTAATATAAATAGAGTTATAAAACACTAATAAGGAGCTTCACAATAAAGGATCCCCCAAACCAACGCGATTAATCCGCTGCGATATTCGTGGCGATATAATTCTCGCGAAATTCGCTGCGAACATCTGAGGGATATTCATATCGAAGCGAAAACATCGCAGTGGATTGGCAGTAAACGGTGTTAGTGTAGCTTGAAAATCAAATTAAAACATGTACTCTTCAGATGAAGAAGAAGCAATTCTATATCTTGCTTTGGCGGAGTAAGCAATGTGACGAACAGTATATACACCTTCTAGACGAAGATCCAGATCCATCACAAGCCTTTACCAACATCGAAAATGATCCAAGACGTGCAACGAATCTGGCATTTTCTACACGAGAAAAATTTGTTGACTACTTCAACTCCTCATATTGTTGGTCAAGATCAGCTTAGCTAAGCCATTCATAAATAAAAAACGTATTATAATAATTTCTCAGTAAAGAGTAACTTACCGGTGTCATTCAATTCCACTTCTATCTCATCCCAGATTTTGTCTTTTTTTCGAACATTTTTGTAGTCCTCGTTGTTCAAGTCATAGAGAATTGGAAATTGTTTAATTATTTCCAGAAATTTTTCAGTGTTTGCCATTGCGACAGCGATAAAAATCGTGCAAGCAGCGAATTAAAATTTAGACGTTGCACTGTCGCAGCGCTGCGAGCGAAATTGACGCACAGGTCTGTTCTTGTTCATTTGCTTCTACGAGAAGAGTCCCTGGGCGACAATGTCGTCGCGAATTAATCGCAGTCGCTGCGAAATATTCGCGTCAGTTTGGGGGAACCTTAAATTCTCACGCGTGCCCCATTATATTTAAAAACATGTTACAAGATAGCGCCAAGCGGTCGTCTTGAAATTTCTGTTGTTTTTATGCTAAAATATAGTATTCATGCGTCAACTTCGTTATCCCGAATTTCAGCTCACTAACGTTAAAGAAGCGATGTTTGAGTCCACTTTAAGGAGAAACGCTTTGAATATTGAATACTGACCACATCCCAGCGTATTTTGCTAAGAACTTTACGAGAAATTCATATCAGATATTTGAACGAGAAGAGAAATAGCGCGATGACATAATAACCTGGTGCAGAGAATATCTGAAAACAATACGTAGTACTCGCATCATGGGAAGACAGAAGATTTATTATTTGAAGAAGGTCACACAGGTTCTAAATATTGGCCAGTTCTAAACATCACATCTCGTAGACAAGCGTATCGCGATGGATTAAGTCCAGATTTTCAACGCCCTACAGCTAAGAGTCGTCCTTTAATTATTTAGTGCTAGATACCCATATTGATAGCGATTCTGGCTTTGTCGATGGAGGTTTGAGCGTCTTCGCATCACGAAGAACTGGAAATTATCATGAAAATATGAATGCACAAGTGTTTGAAGATTGGTTCAAAGCAATGTTACCAAAATTAGAACCCCCACGGGTATTATGTAAAAAACCTATAAGACGTGAAAAAAAAATTTCATCTTGCAGACTAGGTAGTTTTTAGGGTGCAAGCAAACGTTTGCACACTAGGATCGTTGTGAGCGTCCATCTATGGAGGAATGACTCAACTACTCGCATTGTTGCTTGCATATGTTTTGTGGAGCTGAGTAGTCTGTGGTTGTCATCTCTGAGAAGAAAGTTGGTTGAATAGCAAGATTGCATCTAGATGATTATGTGTTTCTGAAGACAGTTATGTTCAATGTTATGAGTTACGATTTTTTTAGGTTTTTTTTACAAGAACTGAGGAGAATTACGGGAAATCACCACCGCGCCCGCGATGTGTGTAATTACGGTTAGCATGTATATGACTAATTCGACAGTGTACAGCGAATATAATTATTTCTCATCTCTCTCATTTTTTAAATTCAGCAAATTTGCATATGTAATTTCCAGAATGGCAGCTTAGACCTCCAGTAATGCCATCTCTGAAGCAGATTTTACATCACATCAGAGCCAAACATTGATAACTGAAGCCTCATGACGTTTAGGCACACGCGTACAAACTACAAGACGAGTTCACAACGTGTCCATCACCTAGTGCTAAGTTAACATCTTGTAGAAAAACCTACATAATGCCACCAAAAACCAATACTATGTCAAAAATAATCGAGACAATGTCACTTTTCAAGATACGTAATACCCGTGCCGATTCTGTGATTGTTCTAGATAATGCTTCATATCACAGTCGATGTACATAATCTTCCCACTTTAAAATGGAGAAAGATAGAAATTTATAATTGGCTAGTGTCAAAAAATATACCATGCGACCTATCGATGCTTAAAGCAGAGTTGATGCAAATCGCTCGTCAGCTCAAGGGTAGATACACGAAATTTGTGGTAGATGAAATAGCAAAGGATAAAGGATTTATGGTTTTGAGATTACCCCCGTACCACTGCAACCCAAACGAGTTAATATGGGTTCAAATAAAAAATGCGGTAGCGCGTAAGAATACTACTTTTAAGATGGCGGAAGTTCGTATTCTTTTGCAAGAGGCCATTGAGGGTGTAACTGGTGACACGTAGCAGAATTGCATCGGGCATGCGGTTAAATAACAGGAAAAGTTCTGGCAATTGGGCCATTCCATAGAGCGGATAATCGAACCAGTGTTAATTAATTTAAATGATAGCGACAGCACTGACAGTGACAGTATCTGCTCGAATAATGGTGAGTCATAAAACCTCAGCGTTGCACCTATTTACGTTAAATATTCATGGTAAATTATATTTATTTTTAATTTTTGGATAATCAAAATTTATCATTTAATTTTTGTCTCTTTCAGTTTCAGAACATTTTATTTTTGTGATTTTTGTATTTTTAAGATTTACAGATTGATCACTTTTTTCATTTTGTTGAAACTAAAAGACGGGTGGAGGGAGGGACGAGACTCGATTTGCATCCACTGTGGACGGTCTCTCTTCAAAGAAATAAATTTTACAAATGACAAGGAAATGAATATCTAGAACAGTTATTCATTTTAAGCTAGCCTAAATCTTTGATTTGATGATCATATCGTAGGATTATTTGTTTACCGGCAAAATGAATTTTGACTTTCTGTAGCCTGTAGGCGAGCATTTGATCTAAACAAGGATAATACGTTATGATTGGATATTAAATTTTGGAAATAATTAATGATTCACATAGTCGATTTTTGCTTAAAAGCTGGGGAAATGTCTATTGGTATATGTTGACATTCAATATATAAAATGCTACAGACCAGATCGAAATTTGTGATTTATAAGTTTACGAAGACAGGCGTTATTCTCAAAACCTGCATGTCACCCCATAGCTATTAACCTTTTTTGTGCCATTAGTGCATAATAAAGTCCATGCAGCCAGTTATAGCTATTAACCTCTTAAGGCTGTACGCAAATTACCTTAGTGGCGTGCTTAGAAACAAAAAAGTAGTTTGCAGTAGTATGCTTGCAATTCAAATGTATATAACCTCAAATTGCTTATTTCACCAATCAGTGCCGACAGTCGTATCTATGCAGCCTCCACTTAGGGCCGTATCGTCAATCGTTCCTACAATTTTAGGATGCCTTTATGGCCTCCTTGATATTCATAGACTTTTCTCCTCCTCCGTGTCAGCGTCAGCGCTCTCCTATTGTGAGGTTATGCTTTCTTTTTGAATCTTAAGAAATATGATGAAGCTTAATTTTTACCATCTGTTTTATTAGCCTGAAATTCCTTAGAATTCAAATACGGAATATAACCTCAAAATAGAGCGCTTACACGAAACAGTAGAATTCTAGAAATACCCCTGCCTTTCTGAAGCACAGGAAAAACTATGAAAATCAAGGAGGCCATAAAAGCGTCTTACAATTTTAGGAGCGACTAACGATACGGCCCTTAAGTGAACTCCACGATCAATATACATTGTGTTACCAAGAGGCAACACTGGCACGGTGCTACACTCGTTTTAACGTGCTGCACACTTATACTGATAAAAATTCCAGCTCTTTGGGAATTTACGGGTTGTACTAAAACCATTAATACCTACATTACCATTGGTCGGAGGAGTTCAAATTTTCTTTTTAAATGCTCCTGAAATTGATTTTGAGCTAGATGGAATCGTTGGCGTTCTAGAATTTCCCGGACTAAGGTACGCGACCTAACAAAATTTTTCATGTTCTTATCTTAATCAATATTTTTCTTCTAGTGATTGCTTGCGGAAATGTGTGAAAGACACTTTGGCATCTATGATAGTTTTACCCAACAAATTCCCAATAGTGCTGACCAAAGAGATCAGCAGTGAAAAACTGAAGACTCCTAACCCTGTTGTAAGTATACACTATATGTAATCATTAATTCATCTGGATGTGCTTCTTCCAAAAGAAAAAATATAGAAGCAATCAAAAACGCCGGATAATTTTCATTATCAAACAAATTAGGCATCGATGACATTCTAAGACGCAAAGCAGAAAAATTCTCGGGGAAGCAACCGACCGCAAACCGGCCAGAAAGGAGGTGCTTCTTTGTTCAAGTCCAGCTTTCGAAAATGTTTGTTTTCTCTATCAGGACATACTACAAGGACAATTGAATGAAGTCTTTCAGCGGAAACAGAGACAACACGTGATTTGAGTCAGTCCATTTTCGAAAGTTTTTCGTAAAGTCAGCACTGTATGTCGATTAGAGAAAATTGATAAATCAGCGAACATATCCCTACTAATATTATAAATGCGAAAGTGTGTATGTACAGGTATGTTCCTTTTTCTCGTAAAAACGGCTCAACCGATATTGATGAATTTTAGCATACACATAGATCAGACCTTGGAGACGGATATATGTCTTCCCTTTATTGCGAAAATGAAGCTTGAAGGGGTTCGAAGGAGTCAGAAGTTACTACTGTTATTTGAATTATTTGAATTAGATATAAAATATGGGTTTTATATATTCTGTTCTTTAATATAATGTAAATGGGAACTTACATAGAAATTTTGGAAATGGGGATTATATAATTAAGCGGTTAAATGGTACACGCGAGCTTCTTTGAAATGCCTTTTCTGCTAGATATCAGATATGTACTTGAAATTGGAAATGAGGTTATTTAGGGAAGATTCAAACTGAGATTGGATGGAAAAGGGGGGTTAATGGCGGTCAGAATTTACATATTTACCAATCGTTTACAATTGTTGAATATCTAACTTTTCTAACAAGAGACTAGGCAGGTATTTTTTACAATGTAAAATTAGGTTTAACCTAAATTTTGTTTATTTTAACAATAGTAACTCGCACGAAACAATTAGTTCGCATATAATTAAATCCCACTTGTATGAACCATAGGGCGTTCTAAGAATACATATTATCGAAGCAAAGAACTTGCTGAAGAAAGATCTTACAATAACTGGAAAGGGAAAGTCAGATCCTTACGCAGTGCTTGCTGTTGGAGAACAAACGTTCAAAACCGAAGCTATCAAAAATAACGTGAATCCGAAGTGGGATTCTTGGGCTGAGGTATGTTAGCTACATACATTTTACGTGGAGAACGCTAAAGTGAAATGAACGTTTTTTGTCTTTTTTTACAGTTTGTTGTATTGGATTATAATGGCCAAGAGTTGCAAATGACTATTTGGGATGAGGATCAAACAGTCGATGAATTCTTAGGAAGGTAAATAACTTTGTGCGGGCAGATAAAACACCTTTAACTTTTCACGCCGCTGACGTAATGGCGAAAAATTACGAAAATCAGATATTACGTTTTTTGAATTCCAAGTCGAAAAACCATGTCACTCAGTTCCATCGGTCTGTCTGGAGAGTACATCTCGGATTTTGTTGAAATTTCCATGCATGATTACTACCATGCCTAGGACGAAAAAGCCTTGTAGTTTTTGGAAATCGGCGGAACTAGGGGCAAGAAACGAAGAAATAAAAATAGTCTAACTTCGTATTCTAGCGTTTCATTTTCATGAAAATTTTTTAGGGATTAAAAATTGGGGATTAAAGGTCGTAGGAGGTGTAGGTGGGTATATCTTTTTTTGGCGTTAGTATATTTATATGATCTCTACCCCGGTAATTCTACGCAACTATTAGACATATTTAATACATCACAGATTTCCCCTTACATTTGCCCTTAAAACAGAATGATAGATATATTTTCAATACACCCTTCTCACTTAACTAATAAACGTACACATACCATCTTTGAAGTTTCACCGATATCTGACCGTTGGATGGCTGGGCTGGCGAGTGTGTATTTTTTGCGAGTGGCAAGTGAGGTTAGTTCTAGCAATGTTGCCAGATGGGCGGTACTGTCGGTAGAGTAGGGTAGAAGTTTCTAGATCGCAACGTCATCAAATGGGTGTAGACTATGGACTAACTGCATGGGCCTGTTTGACTAACTTGATTCATTTAATTATTTTGCTATACGAGTACATGTTCGTAGGTATAACGTTTTTCTCAGTTGTTCCGAAGATAATCTTTTATGAACTGATGGCAACGTTGCATGGGAAGTACAAAGACAATTTATTTAACGCCATGACGAACGAACGAATAAAAATGTTTGTTGTTTCAGGGCACATTTTTTTTAACCATTCAGACAAACTTACATTTTTGGTAATTTTTATTCCAGGGCTTCAGTGGAAATATCAGCACTAAAGCTCGCTGGGCAAAGTGATATGGTGAGTGATAATTAAAAATACATGGTTTTGAAGATCTTCAATCAGTCGAAAATTCATAATATAAATTTTTTCAACACCGCACAAATTTGACCCAATAAAACTTCTTTTTACAGTGGTTAACTTTAGAGGAGGTGAAACATGGGAAAGTGCACATACGATCTACGTGGTTGACTTTATCTAACAATTATGAAGACTTGAAATCGGTAATGAATTCACTAAAAGATTTTTACATCTTTCACTAAAGGATGAATGTTTGCATGCTTCATACACTTAGTATACTTTATCGCCTTAGGGCATACAAAGGAGTCCGTGGGCTATAAAGTACGATTTAACGCTCGAAAAATCCACTCATAAGGCAGAGCTTCCGTCCAGTCGAGAATAACACAGGCCGCCAAGATTTTTACTCAGAAACCAGAGTATACTTTCCCGGTGCGCTGAATCGGAGTCTCTCAATTGGTTCTCGAGATGTCCTAATCTAAAAGTGCAAAATTGCGATTTTTCTTATATTTGAGGTTATGTAGCATGAAGAATTATATTTTTTCCATAAAACAATCGACATTTTCTCAAAGTATAAGCTTTGCCCTTCCTTCCAAATGCCATTGACTTTGCTGAAATATATTTGTTCGCACTTTGAAATTTTCTGCATTTCACTATATTTGATACTCTACGTCAGCGGTCGCCAACCCGTCGAGCTACCGGTAGCTCGCAAAGGCAGTTCTCGTGGCTCACAACAAATTTTAAAAAGGTGTAAAAATCATAGAAGCTTCCGTAAATTTTGTAAATTCTCGTAATAAACACAAGCAGCGGCAACACTGTGGTGAGCCATCTGTTCGAGAACGATCTCGATTGCTTTGAACGGAATAAATACGCAGGGCACGGCGACAGTGCGCTCAGTTTAAAATTGAACGGCACAAAGTCCAGCGGTTTGGTTAGAGTTGGCCTGCAATTGAAAACATAAGCAGTAGTAAGAAAATGAAGACATACCATTTCCATTCGGAATGGGAAGAACAATATTTCTTGACAGAAGTAAAAGGTAAGAATGTATGTTTGTTATCTAATACATCTGTTTCCGTTGCTAAAGAAGGGAATGTCGACAGGCACTATAAGACTGTACATTCGAATTTTGAAAAATCATTCCTATTACGTTCTGCATCCAGAACGGAAAAACTGAAACAATTAAAAAATCAGTTAGTTGTTCAACAGAAAATGTTTTTAAAAATAATCAACAAAAGTAAGGCTGCAACTGAAGCATCATACCGGGTGTCCCAGATAATTACACAAAAGAAGAAACCTTATGAAGACGAGGAAATCATAAAACAAGTGTTTTTAGAAGCTGCAGATTCAACTTCAGAAATAAAGACGAGATAGTTTCTTCTATGAAATCTATGCAACTTTCTGCTAATACAGTGATGAGACGAGTAGAAGTAATGAGCAATGATATAGTTTTACAGTAAAGAAATGACTTCGATAACTGTGGTTATTTTTCACTGCAGCTGGATGAATCCACAGATGTCGTTGACACCTCTCAGATGACCGTGTTCGTCAGGATGGTTTTTATTGATTTTACGATTAAAAAAGATCGTTTGAAGTTTATTCCACTAAAAGAACATACTACTGGGCTTGTTTTCTTCTTTTGAAAATATTATTTCTTCTGAGAAAATTCCAATATCGAAAATGGTAGGCTTGACAACCAATGGCGCTCCAGCTATGGTGGGTCGTGATAAGGGTCTCGTGGGGTATGTCGTAAAGATGAAAGTTTTCCGCAATTTATCTGCTACCACTGCATTATGTGGACATATTCTAAAACTAAACAACGTTATGAAATTGGTAGTAAAAATTGTGAACAAGATTAAACTCAAGCGTTACAAAGAAGATTATTCAAAACCTTGGCCGATGAAATTGACTGTCAATACGGGGAACCACTTCTTCACTCTGAAGTCCGATGGTTAAGTAGGGGACGAGTGCTGAAACGTTTTAATGATATCATATCTGCCATAGTTCAATTTATATATAATATAATATATATGAAATATAAAAAAGTATATTCTAGAGTTTTAAGAGCAGCAAAACCTTTTCACTATAACGCATTGATATTAAATTCTAATAATCAAACGAGGACCGCTTGGAATGTAATAAAACAGAATAAAAATGCATCTAGACATGAAGTAATTAAATTAAAAGTGAAAGATAAATTAATAACAGAACCAAAAGAAAGCCGATAAATTTATGGAACATTTTAATAGTATTACAGAACTATACGTAGATAACAAAGTGGGAAATAGTATTAATATAGATAGGAACATTCATTCATTTTATCTCAGACCTGCTGTAGCAAATGACATATCAGCTATTATAAAAAATCTTAAAGGTTCTAATTCTTTTGGCGCAGACAGAATTAGCACTAACATGTTAAAATTTTCATCTGACATCGGTTGCCATCCTCTTGCTTTTTTAATTAACTGCTCCAGCGAAGAAGGAATTTTTCCCGACAAACTTAAGATTGCAAAAATTAGGCCGCTGTTTAAGTCTGGAGATAGGTTTGATATGTGTAACTTCAGACCTATCTCACTTGTTAGTCCCTTCTCGAAGGTGTTTGAGAAATATGTCTCTCTGCAACTCATCAATTTCTTTGACAGATTCAAATTATTTAATAATAATCAGTTTGGATTTAGAAAAGGCATGTCAACCAAAAATGCCGTACTTCGTTTCCTAGATGATTTATATCTCAAGATGGATGAAGGAGAAAAATGCATAGGTATATTTCTTGATTTAAGCAAAGCTTTTGACTTGGTTGACCATGCTATTCTGCTAGATAAAATGGATAGATATGGAATCAGAGGGAAGCCATTTGACTGGTTCCATAGCTATCTGTCGGATAGAAAGCATCATGTCGAGGTACAAAATGCACAGTCCAGCCAACATTTCTACCATACTGGTGTTCCACAGGGTTCCATACTTGGTCCTCTCTTATACATAATGTACGTCAATGACTTCACCTCCGATTGCTCGGTAATGTATGCTGATGACACTTTTTTCACTTGTTAATAGTAAAAACCTAGAATCTGTTGTAGGACTTGCCAATTCAAGCTTGACTGGTGCAGGTAAGTGGTTCAGCAATAATGGGCTCGTCTTAAATAATCAGAAATTTGTTTTCCTTAGATTTAACCTTTCCACCTCACCGATGGATCACACTTTATTAATAAAATCGTTTGGCAAATCAATAAAACACGTGAATGCGACTAAATTTTTAGGGATATACAGGTATATATCTCAAAATTGTAGATGGGATACGCATATTGAGAAAAGTAGCCAAAAGATCGCCCCACTCTGTTACTGTCTGTACCAGTTAAGTTTTGTTGTGGAGAGGTGGATATTACTGATATTTTACCATGCACATATCCATTCAGTCCTAATTTATGGAATAGAAGCATGGGGAGCATCGTCCCAGCTGCAAAGACTTTTTGTGTTGCAAAAAAAGGCTGTTCGAGTAATAGCTAAAATTGGAAGGCTCACTAGCTGCAAGGATTCATTTACCATCTGTATATATACTCAATATGCTTATTCTTGCTAAAACACAATTGAGCAAGTTCAATTCTGTAAGCACTGGTGCTTACTTTACAAGGAACAGTCAAGTATTGGAGGTGCCGTCGCATAGATTGGCGAGAACGGAGGAGAGCCCTAGATACATGGCCATTAAGTTTTTCAACAGACTCCCCAACAATTTGAAATCACAACCACTGAACACTTTTAAAAGAACAGTCAAACAGTTTTTACTGGTGAAAGCTTTATACTCTATTGAGGAATTTTTAATGTGTGAATGTCTTGTTTGATTTTGATCATTGTTGTTTGAATGTCATTTAATGGTTTGTCCTTTATTTCGCTTTTTTATATATACATATATGTTTTATATTTATAAATTTTATCACTAAGCTAATTTTATTTATCTGTATCCATATTTGGAATATACCATATGTGGTGCGAGTGTGTGTGTGTCCACACTAACATGATTTGTTATTAGCTTTTGTAGTGCTCTGACTGACTTATCCTATATCACATCTGTGATCATACAGGACTAATAAATTATTATTCTTATTATTATTATTATTATTATTTTTCAAACAACGTGATGAACCGATTCCGAAACTGGAAAATTCAATCTGGTTTAGAGATTTTGGTTTTCTTGTAGATAATACAGAAAAATTAAATGAACTTAATTTGCAGCTTCATGGGAGAGATAACGGACTAGCGGAAATGATTTCTTATATAAAAGCGTTTATCAAAAAGCTTGAGTTTTGGGAACAAAACTTAATCGATATCTCAAAGTCCATTAGAAACCATATGACAGTAAATATCATGTAGAAATAGTCTCTAATATACAATAATAACTTCAAAAATAGTTTCAAAGATCTCAACGAAATTGCTATTTGTTGTTTCACCCATCATGGAAATGTATATCAAACAATTTGCAACTTCTGTTACGCAGAATTTTAGCGAAGACATCACTGCGACAGAAATGGAAGTGTTTGCGTTTCAAAATGATTTAGCTTTAAAATAATTAGTCTCAAGTACAAAATGTATCTGGCCTTCACTAGGTAAAGATAAATATTCAATTGTATGTCGTGTTGCCTTGAAAGTGGAAGCGTTATTTAGTTCAACCTATTTGTGTGAATATTCTTTTTCAAATATGAAGTTTATTAAGAACAAATACCGTAATCGACTTACAGATGAACATTTGTATAACTGTATTCGAATGGCGGTACCAAATTATACTCCAAACATTAAAAAAATTGTCATTAAGTCTGAGTGTCAGGCTTCTCATTGAAAACGCATTTTTTATCTGGACATGTTTTTGTCTAAAATAGTGCGTTGGTTTTTTTACTTTTAGTTACCTAAAATTTAATTTTTCAAACACCTACGATGTATTAGTTTATTAACGTGTATTACAACTGTGTATAATTTCATTTAAGTTCGCTTACATTGCTTACGACTAGGTAACTCACAGTTTATTTTAAAATTATCAAAGTAGCTCAATACACTGAAAAGTTTGACGACCACTGCTCTACGTTATGATTACGTGTGCATCAGATTTATGCATGGTTCCTATTATGTATAATAAACTGAAAATTTAATAACATGTATAGTATTTTTCTGAAATAAGACCTGCCAATTCGGCATCAAAAATATTAGGAAAAGTATACTATCGTTTCTGGGTAAGAGGATTGGCTCACTTTTGTCGGCCTGTGTAACTTAGTCAATAATTATGTTGCAGGCCATCTATGAGACACAACAGCTACAAGTGCCAAACATGAATTCTGCTTTGTTGATAGCTTTCATTGATTCTGCAACCAATCTTAAGGTAAGCATTCATTTGGTACATGGATAGCTGAGGCATTACTTAGCGGATAAACAGTCAGACGTCTTTTTAGCACAAGTTGATGGCTCCAATTAGCGGAATACAGAATAGCTCTTGGAAATGTTGTTAATGTACGTGTACACGTCATGTGCCTGGAGATACAAAATAAGTTCGACACTATTACTAATTTTGATTCAAGATTTTTCCGGTAAATAATGTGCAAACAGCTCAAATTAACAATTTTCTTCATTGGAAAGGGTAGAAAAAAAATTCAGCTATTAGACATTACATAAAAAGTAATAAATCCATAAAACTCTTTAAAAATTTACTCTCCTTAGAACTACATATATCATTCAACATAATTTTATTAGGAACTCAACTGGAAAATGGAACATTTTTTTGGAATACGAGTTACTCATTTATTTTGGAATAAAATTGACACTAAGAAATTCTACTATCATAGACAATAGCTTCAGTTGTTCCGGTTGTAATGAACAATGTTTCAGTAAAAAATTAAAACTAGACTAGTGAAATAAGAATCAAGAACAAGACTATTGAAGTGTAAAATAGTAATATTAAATAAGAGTAGTAAAGCAAAAAAAAAGAAGAAAACATTGTAAATCTAGTAACATAGACAAAAAAATAACTTTTTGCGTAAAGGAACTTATTCAACAATTGAAATTTAGACCAGTAAGATTAAGTCAGATACAAGAAAGTCAAGAAAAATCCAATGAGACAAGTAAAACTAAATAAAAAATCCAAAAATAAAACTTGTAACACAAAGTAAAATAAGTTTGAAAACAGAAACATTTCGTACTCGTTGTTTAAACAATAAAGAGGGCACTTGGGCACTACAATGTGTAAGAATCACCTGTTAACCTCCCTTATCCACGTCCAGTGCTATACTGAAGGGACGAGTGCTGAAGGAATGAAGTGGTGCGGATGAAGGCGTCCTTATCCTGTCTTATAAAATTCAGTCCATGTATGTGGACACCGCGGAAGCGCTCAGTCGCTGGTCCGGCCGAAATGAGTGGAGGGTATATACGAGTACATAGGGCGTTTGCGTTTGCTTGTTCCGGAAGTTGTTGTATACAGTATACAACTTCTCCCCGTTCAAGTGATTGTACACGCGTTAAGGAATACCTCAGTACCGATTGCCGGCTGGCGGTACAAGTCCGCTAACGGGCCACTTTAGGTCTATTTAATATCAAGGACCAGTCGACCGAGGCGGTACCACCCGCTTGCTTTTCCCAGGGTCTTATAAATGTCCGCATGTTTTCACACCTAAGATATGAAGTCGGTTATCTTCCAAAACAAAAGTTAATGATGATGGATCCCTCGAGCACTAAGAATTCCGGTCGTAAACTCACTCCACTCTCGGAATGTTCGGGTGGAGGGTGGGCTCGAAGGAACCATATCGAAGATAAAATTTGTTTTACGAAAATCTGCGTGATTAAGAGCAACATTGATGCTGTTCATCACTACATGCCATCCAATCGTTTCGCCATGTTTTTCTTGGCAGAGACAAAAATCTCATCAGAGTCTGCACCGATTAACCATCTTAACTTCCCAAATTACGAGGTGCACTCCAATCTGAGAAAGAATGGGGAATTGTGGCTTTTGTCCGCAGCAGTATTTCCTGCTCCAGAGATGTTTCTTTGAAATCAGACCGGGAGGACATTCTGTGGCTTCGCCTCAACTCCAGAACATCACCCAAATGTATTTGCTGCCTTTATCGCTCTCCCTCGGATCATAACTGGGATGACCTACTTGAATACCTCGCTATCAAGATCGACTTCCTCAACATCAATCACCCCGCTTCAGAGTTAGTTCTTCTCGGTGATTTCAATACCCATGATGAGCTTTGGTTGGGCTCAAACAAGACCGATGCAGCAGGTCGTGCAGTCGAAGCGTTCACTCTTACTCAAGGGCTAACCCAGCTTGTGACGAGCCCTAGTTTTTTCCCCGCGTCTCGTCACATGCCAATAGCCTGCTGGATCTCTTTCTGACCACGCATCTTGTCCCTTACAGCACTGCTGTCCTGACCTCCCCTGGGTAACTCCAGACCACGGTGTTGTGGATGATAGGCCGCAAAACTTGGCATTAAGGTCATGCCGACTGGGACACTGGGAGGGGCTCAGCGACTTCTTCTCTGCCTTTCCTTGGAGAGATGTCTGTTCCACTAACGCGGATGCGTCGGCTGTCTGGTCTTCGATAACCGAAATTATCCACATCGGAATGGTGGAATACATCTCTCACAGAGTGAAAGTGCCTAAACCAGGGTCCAACGGCTGGTTTAACAAATCGTGTGACACTGCTCGCCAGCAGAAGATCAAGACACACAGAGCGGTTCGCAATGCCAAAAACCAGCATGATATAAAATTTAGGCACAGGGTAATGTCGCAGCGCAATGACAGTCGGTCTTTCTTGACGCTGGCCAAGCAGATTGAAAATAACTTGTCACACAGTAGCCTCCCACCACTCACATGTCAGAATAGAATGATTGTATCCGACTCAAAGCCCAAGGCGGAAGTGCTTGCTAAGATCTTTGCTGCCAACTCCACCATGGACGTCGCCCCCAACTCCCAAGTGCCGTCAATTCAAAGCTTTCCCTACACTATGCGGGAGGTAACATTCAGGCATAAGACCGTAAGACGAGTGCTCTTGTCGCTCGACATCAACAAAGCTTCTGGTCCGGACTTGATTCCTGCCATTGTACTAAAGAGGTATGCAGCGAAGCTTGCCCCAGGTCTTTCGCATCTCTTCTAGATATCTTATGAATCCGCCGTCTTCCCAGAAAACTGGAAATTTGATCATGCCCAACCCATCCCAAAAAAGGATCTAAGACCGACACTGACAACTACAGGCCTATAGCTCTACTTTCCGTTATAAGTAAGGTGATGGAGAGGTGCATAAATCGCGAGCATCTGGAATACCTCGAACGTCACAGCTTGATTAGCGACAGGCAGTATGGTTTCCGGCACCAACGATCCACAGGGGACCTCCTAGCTTACGTCACGCAATTGTGGAGTAAACTCATCCAGTCTTATGGTGAGGCTCATGTCGTTGCACTAAACATCACGAAAAATTTCGATCAGCTGAGGCACGCTGCCCTCTTAAGCAAACTTCCATCCTATGGCCTCCCAGAAAAGCTTTCCAGATGGGTGGCTGACTTTATCTCTGGCCGCAAGATATCCATCGTAATTGATGGGTCCTCCTCTTCATCCCACAACGTCAACACGGGTGTTCCCCAGGGATCGGGCTTGGCTCCGACACTGCTCCTCTTACATATCAATGACCTCATTTCCTGCACGATCAACCCAATCCACAGCTTCTCTGATGACAGCACTCTACATGCAGGAATTCAGAGTGACAAGCCGATCTCTGCTGCTAAGCTGGGAAAAAGAAGACGAGCGACGACTTCCTCTCTGATGAGAGATCTGGAGGTTATCACTGCTTGGGGACGCAACAATCTTGTACAGTTTAATGCTTCCAAAACACAGTACTGTACTTTGACGAACAAAAAGCGTCCGAGCGCTCATCCGGTTTCGATGGATGGCCGAGTTCTGTCAAAGAGCCATTCATTTTGGCTGGTCAGAGTCCAGATCACTGAGAACCTGATCTGGCAAGAACACATCTCGTCAATAGCGGCAGCTGCTGGGAAAAAGCTAGGCTATTTGTTCAGGGCTAAGAAGTACTTTTCTCCGCATGACCTTCTCACTCTATACAAGCCCCCGATTAAGCCTAGCCTCGAGTATTGCTCACACGTTAGGGGTGCTGCCGCCCCGACTATATTATTTATGCTCGATGCTGTCTAGAGAAGGGCGGTCCGGCTGATAGATGACTATTCTCTAACAGAGACCCTTTCGCACCGGCGGACCGTCTGCAATCTAGCTCTTTTCTATCGCTACACCAACGGGCTTTGCTCCTCAGAGCTCTATTCCATGACGCCGCCGCGCGATGTGCCTGCCAGACAGACCCGCCTAACTTTGGCGTCCCATCCTAACCGTGTAGAACTTCGTACATCCAGAACTGGCCGATACGACCGCTCCTTTGTCCCGAGGGTGTCGAGATTGTGGAACAATCTACAAGAGGAAGCTTTTCCCAGTTCTACTAACCTTAGGCAGTTCAAAAATCGTATTAACAAAAGTTGTTTGGGATCATCATAGCAGCCGCGGTGCTCCGGCATTTAGAAAAATTATTGCATTTCGATATTCGTTTTCTTAGCGTGATCGTCTTGATTTAGATTTGTTTGGTGTATTCTTTTACTACGAGTATAATACTGTGAATAAATTGTTATTCGGTATTTGCCATGCAATTTTTAATGCTGCTAGCAAACTCTAATACTGTGTGGTCCGGTATCTTCTCTCTCTCTATATATATAACTTGAGACGTGGTCATTGTCGTCTAGACCAGTTAGGTGAAAAATTAAAGCTTCCGCCTTTTGTTGGGTACTTCAACAAAAATTTTAAGCAAAGAGGACTCTTTATACTTTTTTATTCTCTCTAGCTTTCAATGGACTTTGCCATCATCATCAGGAGCTGTTACTGGGTGTTTTCCTCATCCTGAACGTAAACAACAATTAGCAACATCCTCACATGCTACTGTAAGTTAAGTTAATTTAAATTCATTTTACACTATTGTTGCTACTGTTATCAATGTAATTGCAGCTCCTGATGATGATGGCAAAGTCCATTGAAAGCTAGAGAGAATAAAAAAAGTATAAAGAGTCTTATATACAAGGTGTCCGCAAAGTTGGGGTTTTCCTTTACACGACGTGTAGATCTTGAAAACATAAGCAATTTTTCTTAGTACCATATACACCAATGTCTTAAGGGAACCGAGATAAAGGGCTCTGCAACATCAAAAATATCTTAATACCGTCCTGTAGCCGCGACCCGCCGGGATATCACCGGTTGGTACAAGGTCTCAACCCGACGACAGAACTCGGTCGGGGTCAGTGTGTCAGGTCAGTATGCAACCTTCAACCGAGGGTTACGGTCACGCGTGTAGAGGTAACGTACCCGTATAATCGATTGTGTTTCAAAAAAAAAATGGCACACTCATACACCAATAATTTACTCGTTGATATGTTGTTAATTTATGGCGAATGTCTTCAAAATGCTACAGAGGCGTCGCGAGTGTATGCAGCTCGTTTCCCTAGACGACATCATCCAAGGCCCCGCAGATTTCTGTACCTGGTCCAGAGAGTCATGGATACGGGCCATTTGGAGGAATTTCGAGGTGGGCACAGTGGGAGGCCTAGACAACCACGAATGGTGCAAGTTGAGGAAGAACTACTGAATCGCGTATACGAGAATCCCTCAACAAGCACTAGAGATGTGGCTAGAGAAGTGCAAGTATCAAAAACTAAAGTGTGGCAAACGCTGCGTGAAGAGGGGCTGTATCCGTTTCACGTCCAACGTGTACAAGCCCTTCAACCTGACGATTTCCCAGCAAGAGTGCGGTTTTGTGAGTGGTTGTTGCATCAACATGACAATAATCCGGACTTTTTAAGTGCATATTGGTGACAGACGAATCTACGTTCACGCGTAATGGGGTGAATAACTTTCGCAACACTCATGTTTGTTCAGTAGAAAATCCGCACGCTGTCCGTCGGGCACATTTTCAACAAACATTTTCGGTGAATGTTTGGGCTGGCATGGTGAACGGTATGCTCATTGGACCATTTATTCTCCCAAATCGATTGGACGGGATGCAATACCTAGACTTTTTACGCAACATTTTGCCTTCCTTGTTAGAAGATGTGCCATTAAGTGTAAGACAATCAATGTGGTTTCTGCACGATGGTGCACCGCCCCATTTTAGACGCGAAGTGCGTGAGTTTTTGGATGAATTATTTCCGAATAGGTGGATCGGACGTAATGAACCCGTAGCGTGGCCTCCGCGATCTCCAGACTTAACACCATGTGATTTTTTTCTTTGGGGAGAAATGAAACGCTTAGTGTACAAAACTGAAGTGCATACGGTTGACGAACTCCGTCTCAGAATTGAACAAGCTGGTGCTTTCATTCGGGGAAGAGACTCCATTCTCAAAGCCTGCACCGATGCTTGGCTACGTCGTGCACGCACCTGTGTTTTTGAATCAAACGGCGATAACTTCGAACAATACCTATAAAGTACGTTTACCTAAAAACTGAAAACGCGGCAACGCCGTCTTATTTGTTTGGTCTGCACCACCGTCGGCGTCTGCTCGGTAGCGCATCGGCTGATTTCATTTTCTGTTGGAGCGGTATGATTTCGGGCAGAGACGTACTTAGCCCTTCTCGTCAACTGGAGAGTGAGTACTTTTTCCTTTTTTTTTACTTGGTCGCCCTCGTTTCAGTACACATTACCTTTGTTATTTCAAGGGTAGTTGTTTCTGAAAAGGAAAACCCCAACTTTGCGGACACCCTGTATATATACATAATATAATAAACCAGAATATGTGTGTAAAAATAAAAAAAAAATGTTTACCTTGTTTTATAAAGTATCCTCCCGACAAGTATTTCAGTGCGGACCTGTATTTGATCGTGAGGTCCCCTGTGAGGTCTTAAGTCACCTGATTCACGAGCCCGTTGTACTACATTAACAAAGGCACGAGGGGTTGGTTGCACTCGATTGGGAAACAGATCCGCATAAACATGTGCCATTTTTTTATTTCGTTTGAGCCACGCAACAGACACTATTCACACGCTAACCGACTGACACTGACTGTATGTATAACTGAACTGAATAAAATAATTGTAAAAACATCGTTCCAAATTCTTTCGCTTTTTTGTTTCCGATGCGATGAACCGGTAAGACGGATTATATCCGTTGTTGCCAAACACGAGCACATGATATTATTATTGAGACAGGGCGGTACTCAAACTTCCAACTATAACTTTGTTACTTTAATTTTACCAGAAAAATGGTAAAGGAAAAAAACATTTCTTTTGATCAGATCTACTCACTGTTAAAATAAATGACTCAACTTCGAAGTCACCCTGTATATATATATAGGTATATAGAGGGAGAGAGAAAATGATCATGCGAAGAAAGGTATCTCTGATGGAATTAAGTAAATTGACAGACACCTTACATGCTAGGGAAATTTTGTTACTATATTAGTGGCGTGGCCTACACGTTCCGTGGGTAAAACCTCGGGGCAGTGTAGGCTAGTATAGAATATTACATATTTAAAATTGCAGTACCTTGATGACTTCTTAAAACTGCCTACTACTACCTTATTCTACATGACTTTTAGCAAGTTAAGGCGTCAACCAAACCAGACACTTACGTGCAACTGCAGCTAGACAAGCAAGTTAATTCCACCAACATTATAAAAAGAAGTATCAATCCCGTATGGGAAGAAGGAATCATACTTTTTATAAATAACCCAGAAGAAGATTGTTTGAACATCAAAATAGTGGATGCCAAAACTGAGACTGACTTGTACGAATTTTTCTATGATATCAGCAACTTGTCACAATGTGATGGACTTGAGTTTATTAAAGAACCAGTTAGACTCGACTATGGAAATGCCGAGGTTAAATTGATATGGTCACTCCATTTAAAGGTAGGTATTTCGAATTTATAAAAAATACAAAGGGTGGACTTTAATAAAAACATTAAACCTTGAAATGCCTATTTTACTGGCTATACCTTAATTTTTTATTAAATCTTCAATCTTTTCATTATTTAAAAAAAATAAACGTGCTTCTGACATAGCAGGCCACTTAGAATCTATACATACCACGTTTCCCTTCAGTCGTTATCTTATTTTCAGATATTTAAAAATGAAAATTTCGAGGAATATTTACAAAAGAGAACTTTGTCGACTTCATCCACAAGCAGTAAGTAGATATCCTTTGGAATGATTCGAAATTTTATTATATATTATATATTTTGTTGAAATTTTCTATAGAAATAGTAAATGGTAAACGACACAAGCCATGAAAAATAAATGTTGTTTTGTAGTAACATTGATGTTTTATTGCAGGTCAACCAGCAATAGAAAGAAAAGGTTCAATTTCTAGTATTGCTTCAAAACAATCTACAAACATATCAGATATTGCAGAAACAGCGTTTGATTCAAGATCGTCTACTAGATCCAAAAGTCCTGAGTCATTTATCTATGGCAGGTATAATAAGTTTACAAATCCGGAGACAATGTAACTTAGGCTTCAGAGGTCAAAATCAATCAATATTACAATTTAAAAAAGCGTTTAATTACAGAATCAAGTATTTCGCTATACATATAAGCACGGGGTCGGCTATAAATTGACCCGCTCTTAATTATATGACCATCCAGAAAAAAGTTTAATATAAACGTTGTAGGACCTAACATGAAGTTTTTCACGGTGTCTCAGAAAAGTGCTATCGGAAAAAGTTGTATTTTTTAAATGGAACACCATATATATTTTCAGTGAAAATATAGTCCATTTTTTCTGATTCAAAATATATAGGGTTTATCATACTTATTTTCATTAGTTTGACCAAAAACTTAAAGTTTGTGTGTCATTTGCTATGTGTATTGGAGTTTGAACCAGTTTGCATATGTTTGTATCTATCCCCTATAGGGACGAATACCTACATAGATGCGATTAAATGATACACAAACAAATTTTTGACTAATGTAATAAAAATAAGTTTAACAAACCATATATATCTGAGCTCAGACAAAAAGGTAGTATCATTTTCACTGGGAATGTACAGGATGTTCCATTTAAAAAAACAACATTATTTGCCACCACTTTTCTGAGATACAAAAAAATATTACATGAAAAACTTCATATCAGTCTCAATAACTTTTATATACAACTTTTTTTCTAAAATGTCATAAAAAAGTTAGAGGGAGTCAATTTATAGCCGGAAACAAACAAATGCCTTGAATATGTAAAATTATTTGTGCTTGTTTCATGCAATTTCAAATTGTTTACAAAAATGTAAAACAGTGCCAATATTTTCATTTCCACTGCAATGTTTTTACATTATGATAGTACTTTTGTCCCCAGCTTGTATACCAAAAAACATTTTTAGGTCTTTACAGTATGTGGGTGAGATTAATATGACCCTACGGTACAGTCTTCAAAGACAGAGACTGATAGCAACCATACAAGGGCTTTCGTAAGTTTTTCAAACATCAATAACACTATTTTTTCGAAATAAGTTGTAACTAAGTGTTTCAATATGTATTATAGGAATATGCATCATGATAACGATAAGAAAGCCAGGGATTTATATGTTAAGATGTATCTACTTCCAGAAAGAAATAAAGCTTCTAAACGAAAGACACAGGTTGGTATATGACGGTTTGAAAACAGCAATATTGTCTAATGTAGTGCTTTTTAAAATTAATGCAATGATGGTGGAATTATCGTGAAAAACTAAAAACATAGCTAATACACGTACAACTACAAAACGAGTAAACAAAAATGTCCACCAGCTAGTGCTAAGTTAACATCTTGTCGAAAAATCTGCATAATGTCAAAAAAAACAGTACTCGTATAATGTCAAAAAAATCGATATAACGTCAATTTTCAATACCCGTGCGAGTCCTAAATAAACGGCTTGGGGCAATAAGGTACCTACGCCACATTTGAATAAAAAACATATTTTCACCACCAGTGGTCACAACGAATTCAGACTAGGTGAAGGAGCCAGTCAAGAATTTGTTTGTCTCATAGTCTGTAGTGAGGATCAAAGTATATACAACGCTATTCGAATTAGTTTTTTTGACAATTGACTGATATAGATGTCGCTATATTGTCTAAGATGGTAACGCAAAGAGTCTTGCACCAAGAAAGCTATAAGCCACTTAAATTTCAAGGTGGGCACCGAAACGGAAATTAGTCAATGGAGAAAGCAACGGATGGTTCAATGATGACAGAAAATAAAGATGGTTCTGGATTCTGGATTGCCAGTATGAAGGAAAGAAACTGGCAGCAGTTCTGATAGTGACTCTGAACTAGTAGGCCAGGCGGATATTCATTAGAATAAATAAGTTTGTGGGTGATGATACACATACCAAAACCACGTATTTAAGAGTTATCGCAGTTTTAACGTGTACACAAAACAGTGTAATATGTATCTAATTCTGCACAAATAATCTTAAATGGAGCACTTTTTATACTTAAGTTTGTTTTCCACAACACCATTTTCCAGCAATACCTTGACGTTAAAAACAACACAAAACAAGTGACTTTGAAGAATAGACCAAGACCAAAGAATATCGATTATCGATCACAGGACGAAATGAATGCGAATTTTTACAGCGCTGCATTATATTTGAATTTCATTCGATCTTCATCATGTTGTTTTAATTATGTTTTAGAAAATAATGCTTAAGTTACCGTTGTTGTTAACTGTTTTTGATTTTTTATTGTTTGTGTTATTTCGGAAAATATTGTGTTAGTTTATTTATTAGCCTATTTTTGTTAATTCTAGGCAGTTATATTTTATACATTTGTGGTTTTTTCCCTATTATTTCTACAAGATACTGTTTTAGATTATTCATTCGATCATTTTTTGCAAATATATTTTTTTAATTCTTTAGTTTTCATTATCATATCTCCTGTGGTCTATTCTGTCTCACTTGTTTAGTATTTGACGTCAAGGTATTGCTGGAAAAATAGTATTGTGGAATAAAAAATTCCCATATAACAAGTGCGTCATACATTTTTTGTGGGGGATTACATATTACACTGTTGTGTACACGTTAAACCTGCAATAACCCCTAAATACGTGGTTATGTTAAGTGAACCATCACCACTTTGTGGCTTACAGTTTACTGCCGTTATAGATGTGGCTTATTCTTTTGTTACATAGGAAAATTATTTTTCATACTAGTTTCAGAATACCACTAGATAATGATTTTACATCATCTATTTATCATTATCCTTATTGAGAATGACTATCGTACACCGCTTTAACACGTGTCAATATTATGTAACTTTGTGATGGTTGGCTTATGCCCTTTTTGACCAAATAAAGGTATTTGTGTGGCTTGTGAGCTCATTCAGTCTTCAGGAACATTCATATTTTTTTCGAAATAGAAAACGCATCTAACACAGTCCTAGTCGAAAAACAGAACATTTACGCATTTGGCTCCATATCTGTCACGAAAAAAGAACTTAGATAAGGAGTTCGTTAAATTTAATGAAGTGTGCTGTTTAAAGTCTAAGAACGAACGCCCAAATTATGTTAAACATAAAACAAACTATTTTTAAATTATTATCCTTAGAGTACAACTTTTTTTTCAATAAAGTACCAAGCCACAGTATTTTCAAAAATGAATTAATTATATTGTCATCAAATCCTTGTTTCTCAAAACGTAAGCCTTTTGTAGCATTTTAATCGAAGCTAAGCAAGTAACGTGATTTCAGGATTTACATAAACCTTAGGTATAACATTAGATTTCTCGAAATAAAAAGTCAATGTGGCTTAGGCTTCTTATTGCCCCAATCCCTTCAAACATAAAAAACCATATTCCATATAATATATAATAAGAAGTAAGTACATAATATTGAATCTACATACCTGTGAAATCAGCATCTTAGACACCCTTATCCATACCTCACGATGTACGCACTAATTTATTCCAGACAATAAAAAATACACACTTCACATAACACACACACCACATAAAACGCTATTTAAAAAATAACAAAATAAAACATTCGTATTCGTTGTATGGGAACAGTCGAATAAACGGAAAACTAATCAAAATTTAGTTTTAGACGAGAAGAACTCCCGAAACTTTGGTACCTAGGAATGCAGACAAGTTTGGCGGGAAAAGTTGACTGTCCATAACCAGATATCCAGTCATTTTATGCAGAAATTATTTAGTACAATGAACCTTTTTTAATTTCGTCTGTCGTAGCCTATCGTAAAAATAGAAACATCATTGATTCTCGAAACTTTGTCTTAGGCTGTTCTGAGATGCATTGTCGTTTAATAAATTGCGATTTATTCCAGGTGGTTAAAAATACGTTCAACCCAACGTTTGATCAGCAGGTTGAGTTTCTGGTGCCCCAAGAAGAACTGAACTCGAAAAAGTTGGAGGTTTCTGTAATAGAAGAGAAAATGCTCAAAAATGTAATGATTGCTAGAGTAAGTATCTGTACGTCAATTAATGTTGCTAATTTTTGAAGGCTTGCTAATTTAAAATATATAAAATACATTATTTTTGTTAAATAGCAACGTCTATATCGGAATATTTTTTTTTTAGACGATCATTGATTTACAAGAAGTCAGTCTACCATTTAGTGGATCTTTCGATTTACACTTTAAGAAATATTAATTATGTATTATTATATTAGCTAATAAAGTCCTGTTTTTGCAAATTTACGGTTTGTTGTTTATGTTCTACTGATGTTTAATTAATAACATTGTTTTCGTAAGATATAAGTATTAATTATAATCCTTAAGAATCATGTGAGATCTACTTGGTTAAATGATCTTGCATTTATTTGCTGCCCATGGTCTGGAGAAACATGCAGTATGATACCATTGTTTTGATTGTCTGAAATGACAGGAAAATTTATCATCGCATTAACTCAAATTTAATGATGGCAAACTTACTGACAAGCTGGTTTCCAAATTGATGTTGATTATCCCTCCAGCTGTTATATTGACATCTCTTTGCGCAGCTGAGATCATGAGCATCATAGAATGAGCCTCTCTTGGATAGTTGTACCATTTGCTGAAGTATGCACAATGTTGTACTCTATTTATCTGAAAATAAAAAACCTAATCTACTTGGAACAAGATATATACATATATGGCGAGATTAAAATTTGCCTGACGTCGAAATGTGTACTCGTACGCGAGACAAGCGCGAGAAGCGTGCAACATGTATGTTAGAAAGAGTGCGCCGATGGTAACGCGGGGTAACCAGGTGCTTCTGTCTCTTCCTAACATACGTATTGTACGCTTCTCGCGCTTCTTTCGCGTACAGATTACGACGTCAGTGATATATAGATTTCACTGTATAACATTCATACCACCTATCAAAAAAAAAATCGAAATGAAATCAGAGCGGCCTCAAGCTTTGTTCCTCTATGCCTTTAGAACTTCCTGGTCAACTTTGGACGTGTCAAAAATAACGCGGAATCACTACTTAAAAAATGTTTTTTTATGTCCCTGATATGACATGATAACATACACCTTTAATAGGTTCAAACAAATTATATCTTTCATATCCTCTATGCTTTCAATTTAGGAATCTCTTCGGTCCATCAGTTCAAAAATGTTTGCAGACATGAAATGTTCAATACGTTGTACATTTGCTTTGAAAGTCATCATTAATATTGAGTTTGAGAAAAGGTGAAAAACATTATCGGATTTTATGGTTTTTTACATAAGAAAACTTCTCACTTCATTGTTTTCCTTAAAAATATTTTGTACATACTAACATAATAATACTGCTTCCGTACGTTCGACTAAACAAAACGGTAACCGTGTAAAGCTGTTTCACGCTTATTGACAATCATCAGCACAATCTAGACATATCTCTAAGAAGGCCAACGAACGAAAGACGTACAAGGTATTCCCTATCAGAGGTATCTGGTCTATCCTGACTAAACCGTGCTGATGATTGCCAAGGAGCTTGGAACAGCTGTACGCTGTTGGGCTCTATTTGTTGGGATGGGCGGAAGCAGTATTATTAGCTTAGTTTTAATAGCAAGCGCTTGACTGAGGACCTTTACATCAGTTACAACCAACGAATTCGAATAGATTAGAGGAAGCCAAGCCTATATGTTTACATCGTATTTGTGTAGTTTTAGTGTATACTTTGAGTCATTTGTCTACCAATGCCTACCAAAGTAACAGCTTGTATCAACATAGTAATAATGCCTATCGGTGGAAACATCCAACTTCATATCATCTTGAAACCATCTAGCATCACAATTATCTGCAAACACTCACACTTTTAGAAAATATTACAAAGTTACCCCTTTAATGACAGGACTATAAAAAAATCGACTGTTCACTTTGATCCTCACCACAGACTATGAGTATTAGAATTGGAAGACAAACAGATCCTTGACTGGATCCTTCCACCTAGTCTGAATTCGTTGGGTTCAACAGATAGCTGCTATATTCACTTTGGTTGTGGTCGATTCTGGTAATAAGTGGCAATTTTGTACATACCTCGTCTGTCAAATTTTGAGCAGGTAAGCAATAATATACGACCAACCCAATCAATGCAACATTTACGTAAAAGACAGCTCTCAAAAACAAACCAATTTCGGCTCTGAAAAAGTCAGCTTGTGAAGTGGAGATCTCAAAAGAAACATTATCACTTACCCTGACGACAGATTGTACATTTCAACGCACATTGAAGAAACTATTATAGCCATGTATGCTAGCATTGGTCCAGAAAATGTTTTGTTTATTAGCTTCGTGTATCTAAAAATAATAACAATACACATATAATATTTAGAAATCTCATTAAGGTTACATAATTTAGGTTATTGGAATTACCAATCATAAATAGACGCGGACAGCAATAGATTTTCTTTTTGTAGATCCTTTGGGCTTGAAGTACCACAGCAAGTGGCTATAACCGGCCGCGTGGTTGTGGTTAGATGTCGCCTTGAAAATTCGAGATCTTCTAGTCATTTTAACATATTCTGCAATGTGTAGGTTGGCTCTTGTTGGGGATTCGTGTGTCATTTTTTCCCTGTCTATCTTCGTTTCCTCAGGTTACACCCGTATCCGGATGTGTGGGCATGTGTATCTACTTTTGTGGTTGCATATTTATGTCCCGTTAGGGGGGGCCTCGGGTTTTTTATATTTTTTCCATCGTTTGGTTACATAAGGTTCCCACGAGTATAGGGGAAGTGTGATCGACGTACGTCCCGGTGCCCCTACACTGACCAAGGCTGGATACTCTGGGAGGTCGCCGGTGTCCCAGAGGCTCAGGTAGACGTTGGCATCCCCACCGCAACGCACCCCTCGGCACGGATCGCTTACAACGTTGGGGTTGGGGTAAAGTATCCTTCTTTTTGCGGATTTTGCCCATTATTTTCGTATTTTTGTTATATACCTTTCTTTATACAGGGTGACTTCGAAGTTGAGTCATTTATTTTAACAGTGAGTAGATCTGATCAAAAGAAATGTTTTTTCCTTTAACATTTTTCTGGTAAAATTAAAGTAACAAAGTTATAGCCCTTTAGAAGTTTGAGTACCGCCCTGTCTCAATAATAATATTATGCTGTGTTTTGGCAACAACGGATATAATCCGCCTTATCGGTTCATCGCATCGGAAACAAAAAACCGAAAGAATGCGAAACGCTTATCACGATGTTTTTACTACAATGTTATTCAGTTGTATTCAGTCAATGTGACAGTCGGTAACGCGTCAATGAATAGTGGTGTTTGTTGCGTGGCTCAAACGAAATAAAAATGGCACATGTTTACGAAAATGCTGAACTTGTGGACATGATTCTTATTTACGGGGGGAGTCTTTACAAAATGCTGCCGCGGCATCACGGATTCCCGAGGCTCCGTTTAAGGGCGGTGCATCCCCCGCCAGAACCGGACAACGCCAACTGTTAACGTACCCCCATGAGACCGTAATCAGATACATGGTCTCACACATTCGATTGGCTACGCTTTCCGCCCAAAATAACGAGGCGGTCACCGCAAGACGCACACCGTTGCCCCCCCTCCACGGTCGCCAGGTTCAGCGCCACGCGAGGAACTACGAGGGTACGGGTTGGATTTTGTAGGGGAGTGATCTAAAGACTTGAACAAATAATCCACGATACTTGAATTTTTAAAACACTTTCTCTTAAAAATAGCCGGTAAAATGTATATCTTTGAAATAGAATCTCGTGCAGCACTTTTGTAATACTTGAATTGTGTCCTTCATTTCCGTAAGAAAGTTATAATATACTGTAGCGCCATAGTCTAGATGGGTGAGGATTAGTGCGTTGGTAGGTGTTAATTTTACTAGTTTATTTTAGTTTAGTACTGGTTAAACATGTTTTTCCAAAGTGACATATTTACAATAGCACACTCTAAGATTTTTTAAGACATAGTTTCTCAAAACTTAAATTAAAGTCCAATTAATTTCCTAAATTCTTAGTCACCTCTACAATTTCAACAGCTGTATCACCTAAAACGATGTCTGTACTCATGAGTTCTTTAAGTTTTGAAATAGTTAATCTACAACCAGTGCAGCAAGCTTTAGTTTTTAAGGGATTCAGTTTCAACCAATATTTTTTTTTAATAGCTTACAATCATTTCTAGATTCATATTTAATTCGAAAATCAATGAATCAACTTCATTTTGCGTTAGAGTCTTTCAGATAGCTTTTTTAAACGCCGGATGGTTCTTTAGATATAATAAGTTTCTCAACGGTATGTCACCTAGCATCTGATTATTTTTTGGTGCAGTAGTTTATAGCATCACTGACATTTTAATTTATATACATACTTTAAAAGAAAGTTATGTTGCTTAATCACCCTGATAACACGTCGCTCAACATTCTCATTTCCTGTGTCTGGCACAACATCAAATACTGTCTCAATTTCCTTATTCAACAATTTGAACTGAAGTTGAGCTAGCACCAAAATGGTCATTAACAAGACGTCCAGAGAGACTATTGGTATTACTATTGAGAACACCATAACAAATGCCTGCAATCCAATAGAATGTATATTATTTCTAATCATCATTGAAACGGATAGTAAAAGGTAAATGACATTATTAAAAACAAGGCATTCGTTTAGCCATTAAGGGAAAAACTAAAATACATTATTCCGATTGTAAAGATGCTGTTTTGTACTTCTTCAACTTTAACAGATAGTGTATCTCATTCCTCAAGTTTTTTATTCAAACCAAAGCAGCAGCAGCTGATTATTCCACTATCTAAACCGCTCCTTGGACATACGATCAGTTGTAGCGGCCAGTTCTGGAGGCAGCTGCCGCGATTGACGATATGTGTTCGTGTCAGGTGATCTGAATTGCGACCAGCCGAAGTGAAAGGCTCTTTGGTACAACTCGGCCATTCATCCAAAAACGGATGAAAGCTAGGGTGCCTCTTGTTAGTCAAGGTACAGTGCTGTGTTTTGGAAACATTGAACTGTCTGAGATTGTTGGGTCCCCAAGCAGATATAATCTCCAGATCTCTTGTCACTGATGACGTCGCGTCTAGTCTTCTTGCGTGTGGAGCAAGCAAGCTGATAAAAGCAATGTCGGATCCAAGACCGATCCCTGGGAAACGTACACGTTGACATTGTGGGAAGAAGAGAGGAACCCATCAATCACGACATATATCTTGCGGTCAGAGATGAAGTCAGCCACCCAACTGCAAAGCTTCTCTGGGAGGCCGTAGGATCTAAGTTTGCATAAGAGGACAGCATGCCACAGCTTGTCGAAAGCTCTCATGGTATCAAGAGTAAAGACTTGAGCCTCACCATATGACTGGAGCTAGGAGGTCGCCCGATGGTCGCTGGTATCGGAAATCATACTGCCTGTCGCGAATCAAGCTATGATGTTCAAAATACTCCAGAAAATACTTTCTGGGACGATCTGGGCATGAACAAATTTCCAATTTTCTGAGACACACATTTCTTGAGTACAACAGCAGGAATCAAGTCCGGATCAGAAGCTTTGCTGATGTCGATGAGATGTAAAAATGTAACGCGCTTTTATTTGAAAACTTGAGACAAAGGAGCTCAATTATCGTTTAAAAGTTAAGACGTCTAGAAGGTTGTATTTTAACAATTTTTTTGCCGTTTCAACCAGGAAAAGTACTATAGATGATATCTGACTATCACTGAAACGATTTACCTGCAAAGTCCAAACGTACCAAAAATTGATATCTTCAGGCTCGTAACAGACAAAAGCAAGTACATTTTCCGGCAAGAAGAAGGTTTGAAAACAAGCACAACCTGAATTCATCGAGCAAAAAAGTATAAGCATTTTGAATGCGGTCCTCAGGCGTCGGTGAGTGTCAGCAAAGAACTGATGTTCCTCTTTTGAAAGTTTGATATCATCTGGGGACCAAAAATTGGTTTCCATTTGTTGGATAAGAATGGCTAAATTTGATTTGTTGAAGTAGAGACCTGAAGCTCTTTGTATTCCCTAAAAGCATCTAAAATTGTATTTTCAATAGCTGAAACAGAGTAATTATATCAATTTTAGCTTCACACGCCTACTGGTGAGGTAATCGCAAAAAAACTCGAAAATGAGATATTATGTTTTTTGGATGAAATGTGACATATACATCACGAAAAACTATGATGCTCATTTCCGTCGATCTGTCTGTCTGTCCTTGGCCCATCTATAACTTGGAATTTGGAAAGTAGCACTCGGATTTGGAAGAGATGTTGACATAACGTTACTACTAGTTTTTGAAAATCAAAAAAGGAAAAATTGTACTCGCACAAACTACGGTTGTTGAAGTTTGAGAGGCTCCATATCATTTTGAGAAACACATAAGATTAAATTGGGGTTTATCTCGATTTTTTGATGTTAGTATATTTTACGCTCTCAACCCCGGTAATTGTACCCACCTATTAGAAATACTCTACGCATTCCTTAAAAATTAGAATAGTAGAGAAATGTTTTAAGTCAAGTGCACTATCATTACTGACGCAGTGCAGCGCCGCTGCATCTGAAGCGTCGTATGGTCAGGTATGGGGGAAGGGCGCCGAGAAAAAGAATGTTTATGGACTAATCAAAGGGGTGTGTTTGACTGACTTTACATGCTCGTAGTTATCTTATGCAGAACATAACCCATTACGGAAGGTATAGACCCAACCTACTTGAGGCCACTTTTACAAAAAGTCTTATTACTTATGTATTGGAAAAACAGTATCTGGAATCCCTACAATGAAAAAACTTATTTAATTCCTCTTATATCCCACCGGAGAAATAAGCCAATTGAATTTGATTTTTTACTTTGGATAGCGTTAGATTGTGACCTTTAATTTCATGTCAAACTGTCACCGTCAGAGAATAAAAGTAATATTTTCTTCACCTCTGACAGAAGCCCACAGATCACTATAGCTAAACAGATGTCTAACTTTTATTACCGGAGTATCGCCACATCCTTTCATAATTTCTCTATATTCCTACATAACCAAAATTTTGTAAAATACCCTAATCTTTCACTTACATGTATAACCATAGACATTCCTGAGTATGCTTCAGTAAAATCAATGATAGTCAAGTTTTCTTCCTTATAAACCAAGAGTAGTATCTCCAAATAGAGTACGCTTAAGGCTCCTAGTATAATCAATCGGTATACCAGCCATTGAATCTTATCATTTTTCAGTGGATGAACCCCAGCGAAGTTTGAAAGTTTCAGGCACTTTCGCACGTTGTAGAACAACATTCTATATAAAGACAATATTAATAAAGAGAGATCAACCAT